AATAGAACAGAATCCAATGGGGACACTTCAAATTTCTAACTTATAAAAATACAATAGATTTTTAAAAAAACTTCCAACTAACATACTTCGCCAAGCGGCGCCAATTCCATCACAATCCAAATAGGTTTTTCTATGCAAATTCCCACCAATGCAATAATATGTTCATGATGAAACCGATGCATTATAACTACAAAAAGTGGGAATTAGAGCAATGAAACTAAGAAAAACTAGTTTGGAGATTAAAGAGATTTCGATGACATATAAAAAAGATTTTAAATTAATAATAGATATGACACATGAAAAAGGGATTAATAATCTCCCGCAATATTTCCAACTTTTACTTCGAAATAATCTCAGTTCGGATAATCTTCAGACTTACAAGCCTCTTCTAGAAAATTCTGCCTTTCCACTATCTCACTGTCCATTTTACAAACTTTTACAGCAACTGCATCTATTTGACCATTCTGAAAAGTGTTTATTGGAGAAAATAATTCAACTGTAGCACAAAACAAAAAAAAAAAAAAAATGACAGGAATTTAAGAAAAATTTTTTAAATTAATTTCAAACTTCTTTCATAAATGTTCCTCTATAAACATTGCCGAACTGGCCATCGCCCAGTAATTCTTCTAGTGTTACTCGCGAGCGGTCCACAAGAAGATTAGTGTCTAAAATTAATAAATTATGATTAAATGTAACATATTTTTAAAGTTTAAACAGATAAAACTTAAAAGTAAGAGAGAATTGATTTCGATTATCCATTATGCAGCTTACTTTTAGAAGGTGTAAATGTCAATTCGTCATTTACAAAGGTCACTTTCACTTCTTGCTTTTTTAGTTCATCCAATAATTCTAAAAAAAATGTAATAATTACCAATATTGCGCAACAGATAATAGCCTTCCCTGATTTATACCAATGAAATAAGTTGAGTGATGCAAAAATTCTGAAAGCTCAAGAAAAAAGACAAAGCAGAAGGCAAAAAATAATTATACCCGATGGGATCCAAATGGATCCTCGCTGCGACAATACCATGTGATAACCATTGATAAGGTGTGCTAGCGACTCAGCAATCGACCATGTCGGTAATATAATTGACTAAAAAAATTTAAGCGTAAATCTGTCATGATCAACAAGTAAATCAGTAGTAATTTTCGGATTATTTTTACTGCAATTCATTCACCAGTACATTTCAGAATTAATTAATGAAAGAAATACCAGCTGCTGCGAACTTCCGGTTATTTTCAAATTAATTACAGTTTTTTGTGAATTTTCGTCCAATTTTAATAACGTCAAATTGATAATGTACTGCAATTTTGCCAACAAGACAGGCTGAAAGTAAAGGAGTAGTTTCGAAAGAGCAGATTTATCCGCATTACTAGAGAGCATTATGAATGGTCAATTAAACTAAAAATGAGTTAAGATTAGTAAAACTGGAAGATTACTTAGCAAATGTAAAAATTTCGGAAAATAAAATACAATATGTTAGATGATCTGCAATAAAAGACTCTAACTCTAGCGAATTTTGTTTTATAATCCAGAGGATAACTGTATAACTATAAAGGGAATAAATGTCTAATTCAAATTCGTGGCTGCTCAGTTGATAAAGAACTTCTCAGTTACTACAATGAAGAAAAATAGCTAACAATATAATGACCACAGTAAGATAGAGATACTACACGCTTCTTCTATGGATATTAGTTGGGACAGAGTAATTATTATCTGATATTACTACCCTGGCTAAATACTTTGCAGTGAAACTACACAAAATATTAGTGTTTATAGATAAAAGTTCATACTCCTCGTCCCCGTCCATCCGCAGCGCAGGAAATGCCAACAGCCATACCTACCATAACATCTACTGGATTCTTCCAAACAACCTGTAAATTATTACCTGTTCATTACCTAAATAGTTTTCATACGAATTTTGAAGACAAAAATGAATGAAATTCTGGAAGTTACGCAGGAATAAAGTCTTGTCTTTTATGTTTTGTTTTGTCTTTTAGGGTATATAAAAAACAATAATTATAACTAAAGAAATAACAAAACGTACACCCAAAGAAGCTTTAAATATTTCAATATCAAACTGCGTTATTCGTTTGACAATTTCTAGGAAGTGAAAAATACATTCCGTAGGTGTAAGCAATGCGTGTCTTTTCACTGCAGCTGTTAATGTTTTCCTGAGCATTTTTGACTAGAAAAATAGACTATTTCAGTTTGGAACAAGTCTCGGAAGTTTATCGACTCAAGAATTAATTTACTAGTCAAACGAAGCAAAAAAATAGGCATAATTTTTTGATCCTATATAAATATTATTTCTTTTACCATGTTTTCGAAAATCTCCCAATTTAACGCCGTCTAGAAAGTATCTCTTTCTACAACAAATATGATCCAATGAGGAAGAACTTAAAAGCTGCTCTTGATTTCTAATCACACGTTGAAACAAACCTTCATATTAATAAGCAGAGTTTCGGGCAATAGCCGCGCAAGAGTTCCCTCGGCTTCAAGCTCATCCAAATTTAGATATTTTTCGATATTACACCTAAAAATGTAATATCTTATAAAAGTTTATACAAGCCCAACATAAAAACAAAAAATTCGGAAGAAAACTGATTTACGCGTTTTGATTTCCAAGCTTTCGACGTATCTGTAAAGCAGCTAATTCAATGGCTGTCTCGGTAGGAATTTTCCATGAAACCTGAAACGAGCGTTTAGTTTAAGAAAATATTAAAAAAAAAAAAAAAAACTTAAAAATATATCAGAAAGTATCATAGTTGTAGATGTCAACGGTTACAGTTGAAAAACTACATATTTTATCTTTCCATAATTGAATAAAAAGGATTAAATCGATATTTACGACGAACAATAAATTACTATAAATCTCTGATTTTACTGAAAAATTTCGAAAATTTGCAAAAATGTAAGCCAAACCTGAGTTACATAATCAGCCAGAATTTGATCGTGTAAAAACATGAACGCACCTGTTTCTGTCTGGTACATTTCTTCAAGATCTTTCGATATGAAACGCAATCGCAATTCAAATCTTAAATGAAAAGTAGAAAAGTCGGAATTCAACTTTAAAAAGTAATAAAACTATGTAGCTGGAACTCGGTAGTGTAAAGACAAATTAGAGTGAAGTACATCCCGAAGTATATTTTCGGAATATCCCAATAATTGTGGAATATGTTACAGGGAAACATAGTACAAAAAACAATTTATGACCATTACTCTATTCTTCAGTTGTGAATTTAATTCCATTAGAAAAATTTTTTAAGAAACTTCATTGAAAAACAAAATTTTATTCTTCGAAACTACCAAAATAAAGAAAATTTACCGCAGCGGAATGGAACTCGAACTTTTACTGAAAAATTTCTTATAAATATGCCGCATTTTAAGATCTGAATGCAACCAGTGGCAGTCATTGTTATTGCTACACATTTGTGTCACCGGAGATCGGATTAAGCGAAGGGCAAAATATCCGAAAGATATCCGGTCAATACCCAATGCTGATAATAAAACATGAATCACTTTCTGTAAAATACTCTCCAATTAAATATATAATAAGTAATCCACTGCCAAGTAAAATATGAGTAAATACAATAACTCAAAGTCTCATCAATGATTTTCACTATTCTATTTCAAACACTTATTAAATTAAACCACAAAATCAAGTAATAATAATTGTTGAGTTTAAAGATGACAATCACGCACTTTCCAATAAAAAAGTGCTGACCTGAACTTTTATTTCGAAATTATAGCGTACGCTTTTTATGACACCGTTGGGTATATAAACTAGTATAACATCCGCTTCATTCATTACTGCTGTCAATTTGTCTTCTTTAACGATATTGTTGTATGATTGTGCAAATTATTTAAGCCATTTTGCGACTGATGAAGCTCTCTTCTACAAGATATAGCTTTTAACGATTTCCTGAAATCATAAATCACTTTTAATTGATAAATAAAAATTCAGCTACGTCATTAAACACCTTCAACAGTTCTTATTTCCCATCATTATCTAAATAATATAAGAAACCCGGGAAGATAACCCCATAATACAACTGTTCGGGCAACAAGTGATTAAATGACAAATCGATCAATACGATTACATACGTAGTACACTTATCTGCTCCTTGTTTTCCTCCCATCTCTATCTCTGTCTATCAAGATTATGTATAGTGTCAACAGGAGATGAAATTCGGCAGAAATGGAAATGACTGATTTGATCAAAGCAGTAAACAGCGCCATGTTGATGGTCAGTCTCGGCCTAGATGTCTCACATCCAACGAGAGTATATTGACCAAAATTACTACTACTACCACTACTAATGCTACTTTTAAATTTACTTATCAGTATAGTGTTTCAAATATGAAAGCAGTTAAAAATGCTTGTTTGTTTGGCTAATGGAAGAGGAAAGCAAAGGGAAAAAAGATCAGTGAGTCAGTGAAATGTGTTGGGTGTCGGCTGGAACTGATAATGCAACAACTATTCATCTATCCAGCCATTAGTTTGCACTGTCCTGCCATGTGATAGTGTCAACAATTAGGTATTATCAGACATTACCCTGCTATGCTTACATCCATACGGAATACTTCCCGGAGTGTACTGAAATTTGACGATTTCTCATACTTTGAAAATTGCGCCATTTCCTGCAATGAATGTGGAAAGATCGATTGCCGCTGATGTGGGAGTTGATCTTTGGTAATCAGTGAGTGCACGAGGGAAGAGGATGGGTGTGAGGGGATTAGGTAGGGTTAGTCTGGGTAAGGTCTGGTCAAATGGGGTCTTTTTGCAAGAATTGGAAATGAATTGTTTGGTCAGTTAGGTTTTGTTTCACTTTGATCCTATAGTATCATTGCTTTAGGTGTTCTTTTAAAAAAAAATGTAAAATCATTTTTTGTTTTCTTTTTTTTTGTTAGTAATAAATGTTATTAATATTCTGAACGCTTGAAACTTGTGAGCAAAAATTTTCAATTATTTGGTAATGATTTTTTTTGCCTTTTAGATGGGCGAATATCTTTTTAACATTGATCACGGCTATTTGGAAGGTTTGGTCCGCGGATTCAAGGAAGGTATTTTGACACAAACCGATTATGCTAATCTTGTCCAATGCGAAACTCTTGAGGGTAGCTTTCTTATAAAGTTGCAGCAATTTTTGAAAATTCTGGTAATTTACAAGAAAATTGGAATGAAACAGCTTTAGTTTCTTCACTATTATAAGCGACTTTTGGAAATAAGTTGCTTATAATAGTGAATTGTTAATCTTCAGAACATATCAAACTTAGCTGAAAGAGATATGCACATTCATGAAGTCTTTATGAAAATTACCAGAAAGTTTACGAAGTTTTCAGATTTAAAACTTCATATTCAGTCGACAGATTACGGAAGTTTTTTGGCCAACGAACCTGGCTCAATAACAGTTCAGGTAAATTAATAGATTACGCAAAAATCATTGACATTTATCTGGAGAGATAAGCTAATCTATATAACCTTAATCTTTCTGCTTGTACTTCACCTTAAGTTTATAGGTTATTGATGAGCGATTGAAAGAAAAGTTGGTAACGGAATTTACACATTTTCGAAACAATGCCCTGGAGCCATTGTCCACATTTCTGGATTATATAACGTCAGTTATAGAATTTGTATTGGTTGTTTATATTAACGATTTTTCCTAGCCATCTCCTCGAATTTTTTGCTGAAAACAGTTAGTTTCAGCTACTCATATATGATTGACAACATCATTTTGCTGATTACGGGTACTTTGCATCAGCGACCGATTAATGAACTTATTTCAAAATGTCATCCTCTTGGTTCTTTTGAACAAATGGAAGCTATACATATCGTTTCAACACCAGCTGAGCTTTATAATGCGGTGCTTGTGGACACTCCTCTAGGCAAGAAACATCTTTGATTTTTAGTTCTGTAATATTTCAGGTGGTAGATATCATGTTTTCCATATTAGATTATATAAAATTTTGAAATTTTCGAGGCCTAGAGCTAATGGATTGCACAAGTTCCAAGTGGGTTATTATAATTCATAAAGTTTAAGTGATGCCAGGATACAAGGAATTCCGTTTTTTTTTTTTTGTCCAAATAATACTGATTTGAACTCTGCAGAATTTCAAACATTTGTTTCATTTTTAGTGATTCCATTAAAAATAGTTTCTTTTTTATCAATCTTTAAAATAACATTGATTTTTCCTTTTGCAGCAGCATATTTTGTTGACTGCATCAATGAACAGGATTTGGATGAAATGAATGTGGAAATAATACGTAATACTTTATATCGCTCATATTTAGAAGACTTCTACAAATTTTGCAAACATTTGGGAGGCAAAACAGCGGAAGTTATGAGTGAAATTCTCGCGGTATGTTAAAACGAATGCATATACTTAAAACTGTAGTATTATATAATAATTTAATTACCAAAGGTATGGTTTTTTCTTGTCATATTTAACATATTTGATGCTTTCTTCCGTAATTGCCATATTAAAATTTATTCCGACATTAGCTGAATGGTCTTGGTTAAGTTTAGTTTTTTACGGAAGGTTTTTTACAGTTCGAGGCGGACCGGCGTGCTATCATAATAACAATCAACAGTTTTGATACCGAGTTGTCCAAAGATGATCGAGCCAAACTTTACCCACGATGTGGAAAACTCTATCCTGAAGGTAAAACACTATCTAGATTTCTGTTCTTTAACGTTTGATATTAACTACTGAAGCCTGTTAATATTGGCTATCAATTAAGGGCTCGCTGGATTGTCGAAGGCGGATGATTATGATCAAGTTAAACAAGTTTGTGAATATTATTCAGATTATCGTGCGCTTTTTGAGGGATCTGGTTTACAACCAGGAGAAAAGGCGCTTGAAGACAAGTTCTTAGAATACGAAGTGAGTTTCGTATCATAAGTGTTATTCATGCATCTTTTTCAAACAGACCAAACTGAAGTTCCCAACATCTTATGGTGGTATGCTTGAGTAATGTTTGAGATCCAGCTCATTTCAACTATTCATAGGATTATTAGCATTAAACTAAATTTTGTTTCAGGTAAAACTGAACGTTCTGTCATTTCTGCATCAGTTCCATTTCGGTGTATTCTATGCATTCATTAAGCTTAAAGAGCAAGAAATGAGAAATATCATTTGGATCGCAGAATGCATATCTCAGAGGCATCGAGCTAAGATTGATAATTACATTCCAATCTTGTGAAATTTCACCGACTTCTAAATAATTCCGTAGCTTCCATCCCTCCTTATTACTCGTAGAAAAACTCTTGTGTTGTAGATCAGTTGCTAACCGACCATTCAGTCTTTTCTGTCGTCCACGTTAGTTTATAAAGAAGTGTACATGAATTCAGAATTTTTTTTTATTCAGTTCACTATATCAGTCATGCGATTTCTTGTTAAAGATCGTTGTTTTAACCGTCGTGTCGAACTTCATCTAATTGTTCTTTTCATTAGTCAAGCCATCTGTGATTCAATATTATAGCAGACATATATCTAGCTTTTGTAAATCCTAGTCGTATACATCATTTTTGTGTGTCATCAGTGTTTTCATTCCACTACATTTAAGTTTAGCATTATTCGGTAGTTTTGCTGGTACTTCTTTGTAGTCACTTATTATTTCTGAATAACAATGAAGAATATAGGGTGGACAAATCAGCCTGACGATGAAACAATTATGGAAAAACTTTAAGCAAAATTGAATTTCAAGATTTTGGAGGCCTGTGATTATGTAGAACGCAGTAATCCAAGTAGTTTTGTGAACAAATTTTGCTTTTGTAGTTTTTTAAATCATGAAACATCGTGAATGAGCAAAAGCACACAAAAATTCAGGAACCAGATGTTACATGATGTGTATATTTAGCTAGAGTCATATAAGCAAATCGGGATAGGGCAGAATGTTATTTCTACCAAGCTATAAATAAATTGTTTTTTGCTTGCTGCTGACAAAATATCGTCAAACAAAACATTTATCAGTCATCTCCATAACAATAAATTTTCCATTACTTGAGGGGAATAAAGCGGGAAGAATGTGTTGCACCAATGCCTGGCCGTCCATGTTTCACAGGTTTGTATGTGATTGCGAATTCTCCCAGATAATAGCCAATCATTTCTGGCTTTATTTCGACCTGAAAATCATTTCCACAAAATTTATAAACCATCCAGAAAATTGTAAAGTACATGAGGAAGCCGAAAAAAGGGATGAGAGCAGATTAGCAGGCCAAAATAAAAACAATGTTTGAAAAATGTAGTCGTAGCAAATGTACTGGCACCAACTGAGCTTCGACGATAATCCAATTCGAAACGGGTTTTTCGTACAGTATCATTATATAGCACAATTAAAAAAAAGTTCATACGAATGGACAGTATGACAGAGAGTGCATTGTGCATACACCAGAATTACCCTTGTATATAATTCTAAATTAAAATTAACTGTACAGACTGCTTCCTTACATTTCTCTCTTTCTGTTTTCTAAAAACATGCACAGGCCAAAAGTTTTAAAAGTAAAAGAAACCGCAAAAAAATACTTTTGGAGAAAACCTACCTGATTAAAAACTTTGCCGTTGTATACCCCTACAACTGATCCAACCATTTCGGGTAACACAATCATATCACGTAAATGGGTCTTGATTGTGGCTGGTTTTTCATGCACTGAAGCTTCTTTTTTTGCTTTTCGTAACCGATTTAAGAATGCCAAGTGTTTGCGTTTCAAGCCACGAGCCAGGCGTCTACGTGCACGGCAGGGTAACAATTTCGCTAACTGGTCACTAAAAAAAAGTAAACTTTCCTTCCACAATTTCTTGCAACTGAATAACTTCTCTTCGCTTAACGTTAGGTTATTATTTGTAACTGCAGCTAGTACAAAATCGTCTATACCTAATAAAGTTACTCTTATCACAAAGTCATTCATTGACGAAACCTAATTGAACCGTAATAAATAACACACGATAGTTAATGCTGCATCGCATGATTAAAAAATAAACGATGCACTGGATGTGATCAGTGTAAGTTCCTAGCTTAACGGACATTGATTGCAACCAGTCATATATTTTCTCTTTTCCTGTTCCTTTCAGCAACGAAACAATTGGTATCCTGTCTAATGAACGAGATAATTTTCAGCATTAAGCTACCATTTTTGATGATTGAATCTGAATCAAAGAAACTGTACTTATTACAAACCGATTCAAATCCAACAGCTGGTCCAAATCGACTCCACGATATGTGAATTTCTTGAAGGTACGTTTTTTTTTCAGCTCTGCAGCTGCAGCTTCATCTGTTTGCGACATGACTGCTATCTAGTAGTATACACAACAATAAAATGTGCAGCTAAAGAAAAAATTTAATTTTGATTTTTTAACCTATGATACAAACTACCATAGCAAGAGTAAAAAGTAGCTGAGAAAGTCCACAAAAACCATTTCACTTATTGTTAAGTATTGTTATATCTGATCACTATTCTTTTACTAGTGCAGAAATTAACTATTATAAATTTTTGAGATATTGTGTCTAAAGCACATTACTTCACATCATCCTTCACAACGTCTAAATTGAAAAATCTACAAAACTGGATGGATAAAGAACAAACATATCTTAACCTGGATAGCTAAAGTCCAGAATACCAAGTGATTTAGATACCTCGAAGAAAACACATTTAGTTTGGTAATGCCTAGAACTCCCAACCAAAACTAGAAAAGATCGCCATCTATTTTACCTCATCGACTAAACAATTCATACCAGAAAATGCTAACCACCACATGGATTAAACGACTGGGAAATCACGACGAATGGTACCGTCCATTCTGTCCCATTAACAAAGCCAAACAAATATTAAACAGTTCCATCATTATAACGCATTATTTGGCTCTTCTCATTAGTAGCGTTCCCCCTAATTATTTAGATAATATATTTCTTCGTTTTTTAACCACCGGGGACTTGACTTCGTACGAACGCCCAAAACGGAACTGTGCCCCATACCAACAGCCACCTAAAAGAAAGCAATGGTCTACCGAACCACGTCAAACCATTGTTTTTGCAATGTTTGGTCGCGATATGAAAATCGTCTTACTGAATGAGATGGAAGAGGAAATTGGAAAGTGCAGGTAATGGCGAGTGACGTTGTCTGTGTCATTTTGACTTGCTGAGCATTCTTCTTAAATGAAAGTTTTCTTGTCTTAACAATTATCGAATGAAAAGCATTTCGGCCTATTTAGATATGCCACATAAAAGAGCAAAGAGTGTTTATGTTCTTTGCATTTCTTGAAAAGAGTTAGGATCAAAGGGTTGCTATGTAAATATCTCGCACCGAGCAATATCATCTTATCATTTTATCTTTATATCATTCTGTCATTTATTTTTTTTTTCTTCATTAACTTTTCATTTGTTACCATTAGCATTATTATTTTCGGGATTAAAAATGCAAACATTATAGACTATAAGGGAACTGTAAAATCTGAAAAGAAGAATTTAAAGAAAAAAAAATTAAAAAAAAAAAAAATTCACTATTTACTGTTTGAAAATGTTTAAAATGGATGGGTAAATTACAAAAAGGATGATTAAAAATAGGGAATGACTGGAAGGATGCCAGCGATCAGAATAACTTGTTATTTTACGTTGCCTTTACGGTGTGTACTCTGTTCCGTACCAACTGTCCATTTGTTTTCTTTAATTAAAGACAGATTTTAAATATACAAATTATTGGTACTGATTTGGTGTATGCATTAATAACTTACACGACATGATAAGGTGTGGATGATTTTTATTGATTCAACATACAGAAATGTTTGCCTAACAAATATATTAGTAAGTTTTATTGATTGACGTTATAAGGCAGTTAGTTATCAGAGAACACTACGATTAGAGCAGATTGCTAGATTGCTCTTGCTCGTCGCTATTAAAGTCTTTTGAAGTGACTTAGAATTTGATGGTTGTTGTCAACTGGAAGAAATCTGATAAAGAGAGAGAGAGAGTGTGTGTAGCAGTGGATAAATAGAACAGAAGAGTGCCGTTTGTTGAAAAATGAGCCTTGTAGTAAGAGAAGTGCAGAAACAGAGCTAGACGTGGTTTACGTGGCTTAATCACTGAAGACAATGCTGATTATCGAAAACAAATATGAGAATTTAATGAATCATTCATTAATTAAACATCGAAACATCCGTCTTGTGCTTATTTGTGCGATGAATCATTTGACTGAGTATTTCTTTGTATTTAAATCAGTATAATGTAAAATAATTTCATTATTCAGACATATTTTATGCAATAAAACTATTTCGTTTTTTCGACAAGGAGAAAAACAAGGACAGAGAGCGGATTGTTGGTACGTGTTGATACCATTAAATCATTGAAATGAGAAATTTGTGCTCGATAAGTTGTCACAACGTGATTGATGCTTCTTTTCATCTGATTTCAATTTTTTTTTTTCGCCTCTTTTATGCTAATGCAAATTAATGCAAAATTTGCAGCTTTCTTTCCTCCCTCTTTAAAACATGAATATACATTAATTCAAATAATTTCAATCAACCCTTCAATATTCTTGAAATTCAATAAACTTATCATAACATAATTATTGATGTATTTCACTATTAATCAATTAAATAGTCACCGCTCGTCATGAGTGACCTATTGAAGAATTTCAGTTTTAAAGATCTAGAATCGACATTTAACAAACTTTATTCCATTTTCTTTTGAAGATTGCCATCCTGTCCTTCTTCTGGCTTTCTCTATATGTCATAGAGGCCAGCCTATTCTCTCCCCACCATTTATGTTGTTGCTTATCCTGGAGCAAATTAAAAACTAAAAAGATTAATGAACGGAAACAAAAGTATATTTTTTTTTCTTCTTTTAGAATTAAAAAAATGTTCCTTTTTTTGCGACTAAAATTTTTGCAGAAATTTCTACGTTCCATTTGTTTGCCATTATTGGAAATTTTTTAGCTTTTTATCGATAATTTCTATTGGTCTTTGTGTCATTTCAAACACTCATAGTTTTTATTTAATAAAAACAGCCATATTACGGACAAATTATCTCACTAGGCACTGTGATACATTTTGCAATTTGCATATCAATTAAATTTTTTGACTACGGCTGTCATACTTCCTTCCATCTATTGTTATTTCCGTGAATAAATTAATCTCAAAAATTTTTTGACGAATTTTTTTTCATTTTAAAGTCATACACGAAGAATTTTCATCATCGACTGTTTCTCCATGTCGTACGTTTTTCAAATGGTTACTTTCTTATCACTAATTTTTCAATTTAGTAACTAAGCAAATTTCCGCGTCACATTTGTTTTCATTTACAAATTCTGTTCTAATTTAACTTTGTCGCTTTGCCTATCCCTTTGTTTTTTTTTTGTTTTTTATTATTTAAAGTTTTCTATGCTGTTCACTATGGAATAGTTACACCGTTATATTTAAATTTAAGTCAAACAGAAGTTAGTCTTCCCAGTTTGACTAAAATTTCTTTTATAACAAATTTTTTTTTTAATTTAATAAAAAAAATTTTTTTTAAACTATATAATATATTATCTATAATAATAAATTATATATAATTTTTTTTTTAAAGTATATATATATATATATGCGAACTGATTGAATTTTGAATTAAAACTAACCTTTCTCATATTTTGATCTCAGTTATAGCTGAGGTTAAAGTAAGATTCACATCGCTATTTCGTCTAGTCTTTCTGTCCAGGAATGTTATATTTCTGAAAAGGAAGAAGATTTTTTCCATATTCACTTACTTAATCATCACTGTTTGTCACTTCGTGAATATACATGCGATGAATTCATCGAGACAGATGTCCTATTTTCCCAGTTTTCTTATTTCTGTTATGTCTAATTAATCACTACGTAAATTTCATTTTTGAAAAATTTTTTTGTTTTAAATCAAAGAGCCAAAAAAAGTTACAATAAAATTTTTTTATAACTCATTCATGTTTTTTACAAGAAATAATAGAATGAATGCATGAATTATTTATTGAATACTCTTAAATTGAGGTATGCGTGTCATGCGTGTACTGTAACTATGCAAGTCCATCTGTCATTGTAGAATGCCACAGAAATGATGGGAAGAAAAAGTGATCAATGAAAGTAAACAGAACAAATATAGTTCAAATAATGCTTGTAAAAAAAGAAAATACATATTTTTTAAATATTTTAAAAAATATGATTTTTATTTCAAAACTTTTTAGTTACTAACTGTACAAAAACAAATGGTTTCAATACTTTTCATAAAGATTTATTTTATCATACAATGGTGATAGTTATTCAAATTTTAACTTTTTCAGATTTTTATGCAATGCTGCCAGTGTGGAAACAATTAATGTTGTTGATGTGGAAAAGTATACAAATCAAAAAGAGACAAAAAGTTTGCAATTCCATCTTTCCAGTAATTAAATTAAAGGGCCAAAGAAACAATCAAAGTTTCATACAGAACTCAATCAACTTGTTTCTAATATTATAAAAATGAAACTTGAAAGTGTCCTTTAAAGGAACAATAATACTAAATTTTTTAAAGTATCTCTTCGAAACTCTGAAGACTTTGTTCTTCTGTTTTGTGAATAGTGAATAAAAAGTGCATTTATTAAATCTGTTTTCAAAATATCAAAAGTTTTGAGTCTTTGAAACTTAATTTCCAAACTAAACCACAAAATGGGAAAAATCTAAACAAGGGGTTTTTGGAACTGAAAATTTAGACCTGGTTGGCTCTTGAATTATTACTCCCAATTCTTCTATTTGGTATTCTTGCATTAGTGAGAGCGAGGAATTTCACGGAAATATATTCAACATGTAAGTTATTGTATTTTCGGGCAGATCACTTGGATAATTAAATATTTTGCACATATATCAAAATCTGATTCTTTTTTACTCAGTTAATTTAATTAGAAATGTAAACGCCAATATTAATTTAGCGCAAACAGTAATTCCTAGCCAAAACACTTTATTTGGAACTAAATTTGAAATATCTGTCGTTAGTCATTTCTTATTAAAATTGCTCTATACCATCCCTTACTCTTTGGTAATGTAAATCCTTCACATCTCTCACCTGTAAAGTGACAATTTCAGGTCACTATGATGCCAAGGCTTTTCCGTCCGCCGGAATAATGCCTTTTCTTCAGAGTTACTTGTGTTCCTTCACAAATCCCTGCTTTAAAAGCCCAACAACAGGTGATGATACCGCCAAAATTAATAGTGAAAGACGCAGACAAACAGTGTAAGTGCGAACAATGTCAATTGCAAACAGAATTTCAAATTGAATTTGGAATCAAAATATATATGCACGTTGCTTTTAGTAAAAATTAGCATGAAATATAAACATATCATTGCAGCATTGTTACGATTGCTAGAAGTATAGCAGAAATGTGTGTTGCAATAGGTACAGAACCAATCAAATGGGCTAACCTATCAGATTCGATCATCTCACTCATTAATACATTCGCTCATCTCCCACCAAATGTCTTCCAGAAACCCATTCCCTTACTTTCATTTTTCAATTCCATCGACGAAAGTATCGAATTCTTCAAATCAGCTTTAAATATCAGTGATGAATTGTTTGTCAGTTTAAGTCATAGTCAAATTATACCACTTCATGCTTTGAAAGCTATCAAAGAGGTTTGTTTTTAATCGAATTATCTTAGATGAAACCTTGCAAAATCTGTTTCATTGCAAGTTTGATGCTATTAGAGTTATTGTTGTAATGTCATTTACATGAAATTATTTGAAATACACTTTTAATAAATAATTTAGATTTCATTCCTGGCAAGCAGTAGAAGTTCTACTTTGAGGAAAGTCAGTATGTTGTGCAAGTTGATGCTTCGTACAATAAGTTCACCCTATGCGACTGATATATTTCACTCTGATTTATTATGCGAACAACTTGGAAGTAAAGCATTGCAAAATGTTACGCAATTTAATGCTAACAAAAATGCAATGATATTAAAAGCTTTGCACAATGTATGTTTATAAGTGCTATTTATTTTTGAAAGAAAATTTTTTTTTTAATTTTAAAATCTTAAATGAATACAAGAGCGAATTTTTGAGATTTAGGGGAAACGTTAATTGTGAAAGCACTCAAAAAAAAAACTCATAAGATTTCAGGAGAGAAATATGAGAATTTCGTTGAATTCTCAAAAAGAATTAGACTTTTGATAATTTTCATAATTTTAACAAGCAATATTATAAGATGTGTAAGAAAACTATATATGAACTTCATTAAACATTTCCAGTACCTTAAATTTGTATTGGCAAATAATACTAGCATGGAATATGAAGAGCTGCTGAATATGTTCAACACATTGCGTAACATTTGGAATGATCGAATAATCCGAAAGTTCATTTCAGTCTTATCACTCATTGATTTCAGTAATTACACTTCAATAATAAGTGCTTTACACTGTGGAAATAATCGTAAGTTTTCATTCCATTATTGAATAATTTTTAAATCTTTGGAATGACCTGATATTTCAGTTTTATGGATCGCGAATCATTGAAAATATTTAAGTGATTGGAATCATTTAAAAAGAAGCTTCTTGAGAATATTTCACATATTAAGAAACACATTTTTTCGTCCCTTAATATTTTCTTTTAAATATTGTTATTAAAACTTTAAAATTTGTTAAACTAAAGAAAGTTATTATATGACAAAAGTGTATAATTGGCCAGCATTGCTTAATTGGTTAGTTACTTCTCTTTGTGCCATTTGCTTTTAATTATTCTTTTGATACCTTTTACTATTTAATCTGTTAAAATGGGATAACTTCTTCTTGGTTACCATCCTTAAACCAGAAAGAAGTTAAAAGCACTTTTTATGTAAAACAACTTATTTTTTAATTTAAGTTAATTGATTCGATTTTGAATGTATTAAACAAATCTAAAAATTTATTCAGCTTACGGTCCAAGTTCGGATGAGAGAAAATTCGTTCCTCATGCAGCAGCAACAGCTGTATACAACGCTGACAAAGACAAAATATACACTTTTTTGCGTCACGTAACACCTCGACATAGTGAACAACATGATAAGAAACGATTTTGTGGTTCCATTCCGATTCATTCAGGTGCTCCCATTATTCAGATGTTTTGGTCATACTCAAAGCACTATTAATGGATAGTCGGCATGTTTTGCTCATTATTGTATTGCTTTACTTTTGATAATGAAAAGGTGCATTCCAGACAGGAACTGTTCATTCCTGGAAGGTGCGGCTTTGTCTCAACTAATGCCACTGATCAATGGTTATATTCTTCTGGCTCCAGCTTCTCCTGTTGTTAAGGCATTTGCCGAAAAGGTGATGTTGTGATGGATTTGCAACACTTCAGAATGCATTATTTATTCATCATTCTGCCACAATTATCTGAATATCAAGGTGTTAACTGTACAGTTATTTCAGAATTATCCTTGACAAATTATTAATAGATTCATTCATATTATTACGTCTTTCTGTCCATGTCAAGCATCTAACACCAGTGTTCCATTGCGCCATATACCGAAATTCTATTACTCACAAACCGTGGGGTAGATACTTTCACCGATATGGTACTTCAGTTGAAGGCGAATTATCGAGTTGGTGAATTCAGAACGATGAACTATATATTTCAGATATCGGAACCACTTCGGTGGGCCAGTTTACTGCAAAGCTCAATCATTGATTTTAATCGACTGGCGCCACCTTTACAGGATGTTTTATTCGAAAGCAAATTACGCCCAGCCTCTCAGGTAGTCTTCTTTTGCAACAAAATTTATAAACAATATGAAACTATTGTTCAAAAAAAATCAATTAAATATATTTTAAAATTACTGATGTCTTCCACTTGAATAATTTTAATTTTTTTCGACCTAATATACTTTAGAATATTATAAAATTATTGAAACTGCTGGAGAAGTCGGGCATTTTAAGTAGTGATCTGGTATCGTCTCTATCATCAACATTATCAGATATGTTCAATGTTTCATCTCATCCATCATCCTTGCTTATGCGGATTAGATTTATAACGCTGAAGTTGGAAGAAATTTTACAGGTATCATTTAAATAATTAAAATTTAATATAAAATTCTCTAAGTGAAAGGTGAAATTTGAAACGTTGAAGTGAACTGAATAGCTGTTTAAATGTTACTAATGCTTTTCTAGTGCTTTTCATTCGATCGTTTTGTTGTTGTTTCTGATGAAGAGGAAATGATCGATCGTGCTTTATGTTTAATGGATTACAAGCAATACATGTCTGGAATTGTTTTCCTGCATATTAATGAAAAGTCTACAAAATTTCCACTCATAATAACGTATAAAATTCGTCATCCACCCGATTATATTGATTGTAGGTTTGATGATGGTGTTTGAATTTTTATTTAAATATAAAAAATTGTTGGCTTTTTTAACTGTTTTTTCAGCAACAAGACAATTAATAGATTCACTTGGTCATCAGATATCACGTGATAATTATTTGGTTGATTTAAAATATCTAACATCTGGATTCAGTTTTCTTCAAGAAGCTACAAATAAAATTCTTATCGAAAATGCTACCGATCGCAAGTACTCGACGGGTTTGTTTGCGCAGCAGGAGCCGTATAAATGTGTCGCGATTGATAAGTATGCCTTTAATCATATTAGTGTATCGACTTGATATTTCAGACAATTTTAAAACTTTTTTGATAAATCATTATAAGTACTTCGGAATACAGTGAGAATTAAATGAGATAAACAGTTTAAAATATTTCAAAAAAAAAAAAAAGAGACGACGCTTGAGAAGAGAATAACAGAAATGCAAAAAATGGAAGTAAATAGTAATTAAATGTATTGAAATGAAAGTCTTTTTTTCAGGTTCTTTATATTGAATTTTCTGGGATTGTTTGTTATTCTATCGTGGATGATACCATCAGCATTGCTAGTTAAAAATATTGTTTATGAGAAAGAGATGGGATTGAAGGAAATGATGAGAATTATGGGACTTAGTGATTCGATCCACTGGATTTCTTGGAGTTTGCACTCTTTCATCCTCACTTTTATTTCACTTCTATTCATTTCTATTTTACTTAAGGTTTATTTTCTTTTTGTCACTCATATTGTGCTACTGGATGACAAGTACTTTATTATATCAGGATTACGATTACAGTACTTTAAGATTTGTCAGAATAGGAAAAAGAAAACTTTTAATGACTCAACAATATAAATTGGCCAAGACTTTTACCAAATAATTTTTGTTTGGTAAAGTGTGTTTAATAAATTTTAGTTTCAGTATGGAGGGCTTTTGCCTGTAACGGATTTCTTAGTTCTGATTATTTATTTCTCATCCTTCTCAGTAGCTTGTATAGCACAATGTATCTTCATTTCGACATTATTTTCTCAAACAAACATAGCATCAGCTAGTACTGCCGGATTATTTTTTCTTTTATTCTTTCCATACCAAATATCTTTCCGGACACAATCTTTAACATTTGTGATAATTACGGTAAGTATTATTTGGATAAGGTGTTTTCCTGTATTTTGGTAAAATAAAATGACATAATGCTTTTTTTATTGTTTGAAATTTTTATAATTTCATTTTGATGTAATTTTTTTCAGTTACTTTTTCCTCAAACAGCAGTAGCATATGGTTTTGAAATGATCTATTTAGCGGATAATAATTATATCACTGATTGGTCATCACTTCTTTCCATTCATGTTTCCGGTCAGTAAGAGATTTATCGAACTAATGAATAAAGAATAATGAATTTTTCACTGCTTTTATAACGAATAAAATTATCACTTCAAATTAGAAACCGATTCGTAAATTAGTTTTGACGAACATTTAATATTCTTGCTCGAAACTAATTACGTTTAAAATTCATCTGGATACCAAAGAAAGCTTATTCTAAAATGCTAATCTAACTTGAGATATGAGCGATCAGAGTTTTTTCTACATTCTTCTTTCTGAATGAACTTGTTGTTTATTTTGCACCGCAAACAATGTACCGTTGCTTTTATTTGCCTTACGCAATTCAGATTCATAAATAATTTCTAAAGAAAGTACTAACGTTAATAGTTTGTCATAATTATTTTTTTTAATTTTTAGACAAACTTCAAAAGTTAAAAACTTAATTAACAGGATTACGCATTACTTTATTGACCGTGCTAATAGCATTTGCAATGGATACATTTATTTATATTTTTTTGGCTTGGTATATCAATACTGTTTTCCCAGGTAAATTCGGTACTGTTTAAATTTCAACGAGAATATCTATGACAATTATTTAACTATTTCTCTAAATTATGATCCCAATTATTGCTATTCTCTCAAAATTATAATAGTATAAATTTTAATTGTAGGTACTTATGGTGTTCCACAACCATTTTATTTTTTCCTTACCACACGATACTGGTTCGGTGATGAGTACGTAATGCGGTCTGTATCAGATCCTCATTCTATAATTCCCTTTGAAGCATCAGGTATGATACTGTGAGAATGCAAATAGTTTTATATTTTCATTTCGAAATTTAGCAGTTGCTGTTGTGGTAATCACCATTGCTTTCTTTATTGTTATCATTTTAAAATTATCATATCTTCATAATTGCAGTATTGCAGATAATTATGAACAGGGACCGATTGATTTGAAACTTACGATTGACATTTGTAATCTTGTCAAAGTTTATGGAAATAGAACAAGAGCGGTAAATTACGATTTTAATTTTAGTGCAGCAAGTGTCTTTTTTTAGTTTAGCAGTTTGATCAACAGACAAAGATTCTTTGATGAATCAGTTCAGATTAAAAGCATACAAAGATAACCCTAATAAATACAATAACTGCTAGATTCATAATTATTAGAATAAATGTGTCTTTTGAAGAATGTCACAAATTAGTTTCAGTTAGACGGCTTAAATATGCGATTCTACGAATCACAAATAACTGCCTTACTTGGACATAATGGTGCGGGTAAAACAACAATTGTGTATGTTTATGATTCTTCATGCTTTCAAAAATTAATCACATAGCAGAGAAGTGATGTCAAATTCAGAAATATAAAAGACTTCTTGATTTAAAATAATTAGTTTTATTTAGTAATTTTCAGTTCAATTTTAACTGGTTTATCACAGCCAACATCAGGTACCATGTTTGTTTACGGTTTAAATATTCAGAAGCATATGCGTACCATACGTCGTTTCATTGGTATATGTCCACAGTATAATATTCTCTTTGATAAGTAAGTTTCGTTCAAATTTCTATGTTTAATTATATGTTTTAAGGTATTACAAACAGTTGTAAACTTATTGCACTGTACGTATTTTAATCTTTATCACATGTTTGTTTCACGTACTTCTTTATTGTTTATATTCTCAGCAGTAAATTGTGTTAGGTTGACCGTTATCGAACAATTGAAATTTTATGGTGCTTTAAAAGGCATTCCAAGCGATCGACTTAATGATGAGGTCGATAGAACAGTGGAGGATCTTGGTTTCACTTCCTCAAAAAACAAACTTTGTAGCCATCTTTCAGGTAAGGAAGTTTTTGTAATAAATTCTTTATAATACAATCAATGCATTGAAACAACACTTTACTTCAATTTTTTGCGTAATAAATTGTAGGTGGTATGAAACGTAAGTTATGTATTGGTATTGCTTTAATTGGTGGTTCAAAGTTGATAATTCTCGATGAACCAACAGCGGATGTGGATGCCCATGCACGACGTTCTATTTGGGATATATTGATCAAAAATAAAAAAGGCCTAGTTTCACTTAAAATTTAGTAGTAAAAACGATAGGTATCTAACGAGCTAAACAGCTAAGAAATTGGGCGGTGGTTATGAACTTATTTTTATGAGTTTCCCTATTTGTGGAATGATTTGCTATGCGAGATCTTAAAATTTGGAAAGAGTTTTTTTTTTTTTTTCTAGATCGTACGATAATCTTATCAACACATCGTATGGATGAAGCAGATTTATTGGCTGATCGTATTGCTATAATATCAGAAGGACAACTTCAGGTTGCTGGCTCACCGTTGTTTCTCAAAAAGAAATTTGGAAATGGACTATATTTGAATATTTTAAAAGCAGCGGTATTTATTTTCTTTTATTTCTAGAATTTAAAATACAAATTTCATCACGCATTTGTTAATAATAAGTAATTGAAGGAATTATTAAACTTCTTCAAGTTTCATATATATGTAATTGAATTTTGCTCTTTCACTTCTTATTTTTCGAAATTTCAGAATACTGCAGAAGTATGTGAAAGTTCTTTGGAAAATTTTTTGCTGAAACAAACTGATGGACAATGTGTACTTGTGGAACAATATGAAAATGAAGCATTGTATCGCTTACCTATCGATTTAACTGCAAATCAATTAAAGCAGTTGGCTCTTTTTCTAATTGAAAAACTTATTTTTTCTTAAATTATTTGCTCTAGTTTGAGACAGAAAAAAGAAAATTCGTTTTCTTTTCATAAGAAAAAGAATATAAGACATCAAAACACATAAATAAATTTTTTTTGAACAAATCGAATTTTTATTTTCGCTTTGTTGTTCTTTCTGTCTCTTGTTTTATCAAACAGTATATAATTTTTCACTGCTATTTAAAATTAATTCCATATTTATAAGTTTAAATTAATTATAGGTTATTTGAAAAAATTGAGAAAGCAAAACATGAACTCAACATTACAAATTATAGTATTACATCTCCAACACTTCAGCAGGTAAATTGTTTGACTTTTAATTCTAAATTTAGCTGTTTCATCGTTATTAAGTGAAAAGATTGGGTATTTTGACTTGAAATCACTTTCCAAATAAACTTATTTACTTCCGGAAATTTTAGTATCAGAAAGAAATTAAGGATTTAAAAATTTCTCAAGTATGTGTTGGTTTCGACATTTATTCGTTCCTTCTTATAATTAATTTCAAGTTATCATCTTTCATTAAATAATCCATTTATCCGGAATGTTCTGCAGGTTTTCTTGCAATTAGCGCCAGCAGAAGAACAAGCCTTGAAAAAGGATTATGATAAATGTTGCTGTTCTTACCTTTCCAGGAGACTGCACAGTCTTCTATACTCTATCAACGAAAATGCCTTGGATAATTCTACAAGTGAATCACACACATTATCAGTAACAGGTACCTGTGAATATAACTTTTTACTACTAATCATTTTTTACTTAATAAGTAAAGTTGAAATGTATAAAGTTTGGAATACATTTCAGCATTCGTTACATAATTTTATCAACTAGGATTGAATTTAGTGAAATAATTATTTAAAGTAATAAAGGTGTAGATGCATTTCTAATCAAGCTAAATGAAAATCCAAACTTTAGGTAAATGTAATAGTTAAGTTGGGAAATATGAAAATTCATAACGGATTTTGTAGTTACCTACAGTTGTACTAAAATTGTTACTCTCTACAGATCATAAACATCCATCCGTGGAATATGTGAACAATAAGGCTTCTTTACGGAAACAACATTTTAGAACCGTTATTAACAAACGTTTGAATGAATCCAGGCGAAATATTATGATTATATTTGTCGAGGTTTGAGTTAGAATATTTTAAACGATTCAAATGATATCCTTTGCCATAGCAGATGTAGATCCTGTTCTCATAGCAGACGTAGACAAAAGTGTTCCAGAAAAAAGTTGGGCTTAAAGGAATATTCTTGATGAATAAATTGAAGTAAAAGCGCAGGTGTCCGAGCAATATTGACTGTGTTAACAATGGTAAGGATGTTGTCACGTACTTATTTTTATCATTGCAACTATTCTGTTTACAATAGTACCTGTAATTTCAAAATTGATTTCGAATATTTTCAGTTTCTAATACCAATCATTTTGGTGTTTGGAGTTGAAGTGTACAGCAAATTTCTTAGCAAACATTATTCAAGCTATAAACCGGAAACGGCACCTCCCTTAGAATTAATCAGTGGAATTTATGGAAACTGGACATTAGGTTACTTCAGGTTCGATCATCATGTGAAATAACAATTCGTTGAGTTAAATAATTTCTTGTCTTATAAACTGGACTGATCCTTTAAAATCTAATTATTTTAAAATATTTTTGTGGAAGTTTGAAGTTGTGTTGCTATTATATCAATAACCGACTATTACTACTAATATTTTGGATAGTTTTGCAAAATAACCAATAGATAAGTTGGTATTGCAGCCTCGAAAATCAAAATAAGGCTACGAAAGGTGCGAAGTATTTAAAAGCTATGACGTCATTTCCGGGGATTGGTGTTCGATGCATCAATCATAATCCTGTCAGGTAAGTAATATTGTCATCAGCAATTCCAATTTTAAAACTTTTTTGTTTGAATTTTTTCCGAATCCAAAATTTCAAATGAAATCTCTTTTTTTTTCTTCGTTGAATTTCAGTCCAACTTTGGATGGAACAATCTATCCGTGCTACATCAATGCTACTTTCTTGACAAACCTTACTTTGCCATCAAAATTAGTTCCTTTTAACGTCCCGCAAAAGTGCGTTTTTTCTGAATTAGTAAATTTCAATAATTTATTTCAATTAATGATTTTGTGAAATTCGTGGTTTTTATTTAAATTAAATGGATTTAAATCCTTTAAATTGTTAAGATGTTCATCGATTATATTAACTAATGAATTAAAAAAAAAAAGTATTTCATCTGAAGTGAGACCAAAAAGTGAAAATGATTAATTGGAAAGAAGAAATAACACAATTCGTTAATTACTATTACTCATTAATTATTACTTCTGTTTAAGTATTATAAACAAGCAGCTAATTTCTTATCCTGATTAGATTTCAAATGGGCTTTAATTAAATTTTGAATCTAACAATTATGGCATGTGCTCGAAAGATTTTTACCATTTTTCAAGATGCGGTTGTGATTTATCGGGTTGGAATTGTACAACGCCAAATGATTTTAATTATAAATTGAATAATGTAACACTTCCAACTGCTAATATTATTTATGATGTTACTTATCGAAATATTTCGCAGTTTCGACTACTCACTTCTGATTTGGCTGTTAAAAATTCTTTTATGTTAGTTGTCGCTCTTTTGAATGTTTGAAAAATGCCAGACATTAGTTTTGTATTTGATAATGGAAAGAATATTTATTTTTAATGAAAATTTCAATCCATAATATGGCATTCTCTGTAATAATAATTAGTAAGCGTGTAAATAATTTCTTAATTATAAGTATTAAAAAAAAAAAATTGCTAAATAGTACTTAATACTGGATTGTTGATTTCAGTTCATTCACTAGGCTCGTGTTATTCTGGCATAAATGTAAAAATACTTTCCAATTCAAATTTCCAAAAAAAAAAAAAAAAAAACTTTTGTATTTAATTTTTATATTCTCAAGGATTGGCGGTTGGCAGTTTGCACAGTTCAGCACAGTCGCCTTGAATGATACAGAAAAATCGTATGCGCAAATTGGTTGGCATAATTTATGTAAGTGTTTAGTTTTTGATTTCTCAGATTTGTTCTTGGAATTATTTAAAAAAGATTACAATAATGAAATTGCTATATTGTACAGTCACTTAAGCTAAATTCGTGATTTTTTAGTTAAATTAACTTTGAAATTTCTTTTTTTGGAAGCTTTTTCATCAATTTAGAAATTCTGTTTGTTTTATGTCTTTTCTTTAAGTTTATTTTAGTGAGTTTTATGGAGAAAGCAGCAAAAGTATGGAAGATTGATTGGCAGCATGCTATAGCCAATGTAAGCTTTGTTGAGAACCCATTCAAGCCTCGGAATAGAACTTTTAAGGATCTTGTTGTTGTTTCAATGGCAAATTTTGACACGGAAGAAAACAGTAAGGTAATTAATTTTTAGTTAAAATATTTTACAGGTAGTTCTGAGATAGGCATTCGCCTTTCAATAGTCAAAAAAGATGAAAAAAAGGACGTTAGTTTCGTTAGAACACACTCCAAATTTGAGACATCGTTAGATGATGAGTTCTTTATCATTACAACAGTAGTGATAGCAACATTGATAATAATAATCACATCAACCACACTATCTCTGTTATATTTTCTGGTCGCATCCGGAGCAGGAAAAAATCAATTTTGCTTTCAATGCCTGAGTTACATTCGAATCATTCCATCCAGTCTGATTAACAAATGCCGCGTGGAGTGTGTTTACTTTAGGCAATTATTATTATGTTTATCAGCATTCTTTAAAAGTAAAAATAATGGAACTCTGAAAAGAGTTACCTGATAAGTGAATAATCAGGAAAGTACTGAATATATCTGGAATTATCGAGTACTCACAGTTTTCTGTTGAAAAACGAAGGACAGAAGTTAGAGAATGTCATTTCGACTAGAGAATTTCGAAAGAAACACAAATGAATAAAAATTAACCAACTGGTGATGCCTCCCATAAACAATGATATGAATGATGAGAAGGAATAATTGAGAAAGCATGACGGTAGTATATTTATCACTAATAGAAAGAGATTTGCAGCCTAAGAGAAGATGAAAAGAAACTTTAGTTGGATAAAAAGTAGATAATGGAAATAGTAAGATATAGATGTTAAACCGAAAAAAAATTTTTAAAAAAATGGTTACTGTTAAGAAAGGATAGAAAAGGAAGAGGAATTGAGATAAGGAAGATTTGCTATAAATAAATTGATACAAGAAATGACAAAATAGACAAAGATTATAGAATCTCATTGGACATCAATATTGGATTCAATAACGGAATGAAAGCGAGCAATATAAAGAATATTTAAATGAAAAAAAAAGACGACCTTTTGCGGATTATTTAAAAAAAAATTGAAAAAATAAATGGGAAGTACTGAAATGCATAGATTGATCGTGTCAGGCAGGGACAGATCATTCATTTAAATTGAAGTTAAACAGTTATAACTGATCGAACTTGCTTTATTACTGGTTCGTATAAATAATGTTTGGTAAAGTTGGGCAAACTATTGAGGCAAAGAGGAGATTACTAGTTATAAATGAACTATGTTAGTGATAAGAAAGATGCTAATTCAGATGTAGGGGAATATGCTTGCGTTAATTGATGACAAGTGCTAAAGCTATGAGAATTTGAGTCGGCATATGCACAATAATGAACATTGATATGATAAAAAATATTAAGTGATCTCCCAAAAAGATTATTGTTAAATTGGGTTGATTATAAAATTAATAATTACGTTGAAAGTATTTTAAGATATGGTTCAATAACAAATTATGGCATTCGTTACCTATTTTCACCAATGCTTATCATAACGCAATTTTACGCTCGCAGAGTTCGTCAGATCCTGCAAATATTGGAATTCTCACTTATTCACATCCAATGAATTATAGTTTATCATCATATATCAATAATATTCCACTGTAAGTTGTATTTCAAATTACTGGAAGCAAATAAAGTTATATGTAAGATCATTTATTGTTATATTATGGCTTTTTATAATTCTCAATCAGCTAATTGGACTCTACTGATTTCTGAAATTTATTTCCAAATGAATATTTAGAATTTTCAAACATGTGTATTATGTATATATTTGAGAAACCAAAATATGATCAGTAACTAGAATTATCAGCTGATAACAGCGAATTAATATGACACTAATGATGCATTTATATTTCAGAGTTAGAATAATATCTTTCCGTATAATTCTCTTGCTACTGGCTATTTCGCTTTTTACTGCATGCTTTTGTTTGCCACTTGTTGAAGAACGTATATCACTTAGTAAACATTTGCAAATGATATCAGGTCTTACACCTCTTATCTATTGGCTTGCTAATTTTATCTTTCATACTGTAAGTTTCTGTTTTCAAAATTATTCTATCTTTGAATTCAAATTAAAGTAGCAGGACTTCTTGTGATTAATATATTTTATTTTAGATAATATATTTAATAGTTGCCGTTATTATCATCGTTTCATATAATATTATGGCTGTTGATCATTTTGTTATCAGTCCTTTCTATTCTGTTTCACTTTTCATCCTGTTGTTTTGTGCCGGGTAAATTCTTTTTTTTTTTCCCTATCGAGGTTTCAAGAAGAAAAAATAAACAGATTCATGAAATTTTGAGAATTTTAATTAATGACTTCATTTATTCTAGGTTGTCATTAATTTCTCTTACTTATTTGTGTCAAACGCTATTCAGCTTACCATCATTGGCGTACATTGTTGTTGGTATTGTATTCTTCTTCATCGGAGCGAATTGCATTATGATAGTCATTTTCTTAGAGAATCAAATGTTAAAGGTTAAAATATGATAGCTTAAAGTCTTTCGCTTACTTTTTCTCGAATTTAAGAATTCTAAATCTAGTTCCAACTGAAATTTTAAAAACATTTTTAATAAATTTTCGGAAAATATTATTAAATTCTGAAAAGTATTTTAAAAAATAGTACTCATCCTATAATTTTGAAGGATACTCGGGATGTTTTCTTAATTTCTTTTCTAAATTTAACTTTTTTAGGATGAAGCGTTAGTAATCGCTTATCAAATTTGTAGTGTATTATTTATAGCACTTCCTCATTACAATCTTGGAATGGCTGCTTACCGATTGAGTTTTGTTGGTGTGTTACGAATGCAAAGTGAACTATATCTCAGTATGCTTCAGTATCATTTCTGCGTAATAATCCAGTGTTTTTGTCACTATGTTCAGAATTGTGACTATCAAAGCTGATTGCTAATTGCTAATGAAGTTTTTGAATTTCAGAGGATATAAATCGAAAGGATCAAATTAATCATCTACCGTTACCCAATCCGCTTGAATGGCATTTGATGGGGAAGCATTTGATAGCACTTATCATAGAATTTTGTTTATGTTTGCTGATGTTACTCTTAATCGAATATCGTTATTGTTTAAACTCATGGATGAAGTAGGTATTTCCTGAGGCTGCAGGATGCTTTTTGTAGATACAGTGGTGACGAATGAACATTACTTTAACTAGTCTTTGACAAAGTTTTTTAATGGTGTAATCACTACAAAGAATGTCAAAATTTGAATAATTCAACAAACTGGTCAGCAATGTTCATAAGTTAAGTTTTGTTGAATTATTCTAAATTTCTTTAAAAAAAAAAAAACAAACAGGATGCTACAATGATTTTGCTCTTAATGTAAACATCATCATCTTCTAAGTTCATAGATAAAATGAATGAGAAAAATAATGTTAGCAGCTTGTGACAACGTCAGCAATCAGATTAAAATCGGCAGTCTTGAATCTAGCTGCAAAGGCATTGATAAATTCATTGCGGTTATTGAAATGCTTGCAGATATCGCGAATTTGTGCGAACAACGCAGCTAATCGCTAATACGGAAGAGTCTGAACTAGATGAAGATGTCAAAGTGGAACACGCACGAGTGGATGCATTAAGTTCAGAACCAAACGAAGACCATAGACTGATTGTCAGTGACGTGTCGAAGGTGTGTCCACTTTTACTTTAATCAGTTATGATTACTTTTTATAATTCAAAAGTTTCTAGCAATACAAATCAGTGACTCGAACAATGACATTTATTTAAGTCCTATGATGGACAAACATTAGCAGTGCGTAATGTTTCATTCGCAGTCAAAAATGGGGAATGTTTTGGATTATTAGGTGTGAATGGAGCCGGCAAGACATCATTGTTTCGTATATTAACCGGACAAGTATCAGTTGGTACTGGTGACATACTTATTAACAATAAAAGGTTTTTCATTTTTTATGAGAAATTTTTCCTAATTAAAAGCTTAGACAATGAAAATTCAACTGTTTTCTTTCTCCTACTTATTTTTATAAACTTTTAAACCTTCTCTATAACATTTGAGCATCATCATGACCTAAGAGGAACAGAGTTCGAGTCATAGTCTTCCTTATAAATGAATTCAATTCGGCGAATTTTTTAGTATTCAATGCGAAAGCTCAAGCAGTTTGACCAGTTGTGGCTACTGTCCACAGTTTGATGCATTAAATCCAAAATTAACAGCACGAGAACACCTTCGTCATTATTCGCTTCTTCGTGGTGTTAAAAAAGAGGATGTAGATATGGTGAGCTATCTTGTCATACACATCACTGATGATTTGAACATCACCTGTCTTTGATCTTATGGTGAACTTGAAACATCTAAATCTTTATTCATTTGCAATATTATAAACTATCGATGAAGATAGCAGCGCTTATATTTAAATTTAGTGAGTAATAGTGATTTCTTCTTAAAAGCTTTTAGATGTTATGTATTTGCCGTTGTTAATATAGCATAGTGATTCTTGTTCACATAACTCAAGATTAATTTTGCGAGAACACGTCGAATGGTATATTAGTTTTTTTTGTAATTTTAAAAATCTGTCAACTACCAATAATTTTAGGTGGTGAATTGGGCACTGAGTAAGCTACAACTGAATCCTTATGCTGATGAGATCGCTTCGAATTATTCGGGTGGCAATAAGCGTAAATTGTCGCTTGCTATTGCTTTGGTCGCCGATCCGCCATTATTACTGCTTGTAACTTTATTCTTAAATGAAAATAAATGAAATCAATTTGACTGAATTAACTAAAACATAGTTCCAATAATTTTATCATTCTTCTTAACGGTACTGAATTATAAATGAACAAATACAATAAATTACTTACTCAGTTACTTAATTTGAAATTAAATTGATCAGCCATGCGTTTACCGGCTTACTGAGTTACAAAACTAGTTTTTCACTGTATTTCCAACTTCAATTTTCATTTTCAAATTTTTGAAGGATGAACCAAGTGCTGGAATGGATCCATTAGCGCAGCGTTTTATGTGGAATATTTTGCTAGCGCTACGGAAAAATAAGCGTGCGATGGTAATAACGTCACATAGCATGGAAGAATGTGAAGTACTTTGCAGTCGAATAGCAATAATGAATCACGGACAACTTCGATGTGTTGGATCAATTCAACATCTAAAACATAGGTCTTCATTTTCCTCTCTATCACTAATAATGACAGGACGGGCTTGGGGCAACTTTTAATTGCCTGAGAAATGTTGAAAGTTTGAAATTAAATTTTCTTTTGCTATATTAACTTGTTAGTCTTTAGTTTACTGTCTTATTCTCTCTTAAGAATCATTATTTAAGCAGCTTCTGTGACCGAATTCAATTACTTTAGGGATTATGCAGCATTAGTGAAGAATAACTGATTCAATGCATTAAAATTTGACAATCATGAAACACTAAAACATGAACGATTTTAAGGCAGATTTTTTCAGATTTGGTGAAGGATATACATTAACAATCAGATTATCAACTAATGAAAGCATAAGTAAAGTTCAAAGTTTTATGGAAATTCTTTTACCTGTCGCACGAGTAAGTCTTTAAATTACTGTGTATCAAAATCTCAACAAATTTTTAGGCATTAAAATCCTAGATCCCAATAAATTATTTCTATTATTCACCTCTGCTCTACTTCCAATTGCCAGCTGCAATTATCTTAAACTTTCTAACAGATACTATTTCCAGTTGGAAGCTGTACATTTCTTAACTATGTTTTACCAAATTCCAAATGTATCATGTACAATTGCAGATGCATATGATGTGATATGTAAGGTTAGTTCTCATATTAAATCCCAGAAAATTTTTAAATTAGTCAGTTTTCTATAGACTAACAAAAATTATTAAATCCTGAAGAACGTCACTAAAAGAGTTTTTTCTGATCTGATTTTGACATCGTCGAAAAATCGAGACCAAATTTAATCTACTGAATAAATTGTAAACTGTGTGCAACACAAATGTGCTCAAAACTATATGCATTAGGGTGAAATTTCTCATCCCGAACTGGATTTAGGTTATAATTTTGATCTTCTAAATCCATCGAAAGTTTAACAGTCTAAAATTAATGTCCTGATATCGTGAAGTGATTCATAATTTGTTGTAAGTACAAATCGTTATAGATGCAAGAAACTATACAAATTGATGATTATTCGCTATCACAAACAACACTGGATGATATGTTTGTTTCATTTGTCAATTCCTCGGCCGACAAAACTGCTGGTTGAAGAACATCAACAAATGCTTGTTAAATTTAGTGGAGGTGAGCAGTTCCTGTTAATGAATATCATTTTTACCACAATTTTACTGAAGTTCCATGTCGCAATCTTTTCTTCCAAATTCCTCCTATATTATTAAAAATGAAGATTTCAGCCAAAATGGGAAAAAACCTAGAGTTTATCTAATTTTATTCGAAGTTAGGTGATAATACAAACTAAAAAGTATCACTCGAAAAGAGAATCACATATTTTTTATTAGTGTCCCACAGAAGCGTTAATTTTCATTTCTCACTGATCTATGATAAATTAATATTATCGCTTTGCAGCCTTGTTCATATAATGTATACCAGAATATCCTTTCCACTTTTCTTTTTTGTTACATAAAATTTGAAATTAATTACCTGAGATGTTTTCCTTGTTCTCACCACTTTAAAAAAGATAAATCTGAAGCAATCCACTCTTCTCATTGATTGATAAATGACCTCATAACAACCATCTAATGATTCAAAACTTACTATTGTCATAATTTTTTTTTTGTTAATATCTTTCATTTTTCCTTTAAGTTTATTTCACTAAGGCAAAATTTTATTACTTTGCAAATATTATCTTATAAGAGATTGTACTAAACAGGATATCAATAAAAAAGTTTTCAAAATAAAGGAAGCTACAAGTTGCAATCTGTTACTATATCACACACATGCTAGGAAAATTTCTCCTCAGTACTTTAATGAAATTGATATTCAGTTTGCTTGAATATAATAAATCAGTTATTAAAATAATGACAAATACTTTAAATTGCTAAACGTATAACCTCAGTTCAACTCTCCATTATTCTGTTTCTAAAGGAGTTCACAGAATCCTGCTTAATCTTAAGAAAAAATACGAATTATAATAACTAGTAGATATACATCACGCATTTTTTCGCATAACTGGACCAAAAGTATTAATGCCTCCAAGGCGTGACTTCGTGGAAGAAAGCATGTCGCCGATAAAGTCCTACAAATAATATGAACATTATTAGGAATTGGAACGAACATTTTATCTGCAAAGATTATTCTTTCGCTAAAATGCAAGGGATGAATATTCATGAAAATAATGTAGCTTATTGAATTAAAACTTATATTTTTCACTGCTTATGTATATGCTTATATAGCGAATCAACCGCAGATTTGATAACTTTCCCTTTCAAAATGACAATACTCACTTGATCATTGCATGCTTCCACTCCAAGGCAGTGATCCCTTAAAAAAAGCTGCTACAATATACCTTGAATTTTAGTTTAGTCTATGAAACGAAATTTTCATATTATGTTATGCTCTGAGAAATTCTTCTGACCAAATGCTAGAATAAAAATGTGCTCATTAATATTAATAGTAAAGAAAATTTTGAAGTTTAAAAATTTTTTGTAACTTCAAAAGACAAGTTATTGTTGATATATGCATAACATTCTAAGTCTAATATTGGGTACAGCGCCCATAACGATTCCAGTGGTCAACAACTTCATTAAGCAATGAACAAGCGAATCTAAAGGACTGTGAAACATGTTTCGAATCTAGAAAAATTTTTTACTTCAAGTCAATAAAAACAATGTGTTAACCTGCTACATCTGTTCACGGTAAACCAAATTTCACGCGTAAGATCACGTGCAATCAGTCCATTCAGACGATCTTTCATAAATGATAACAACAATATTCCATCGAGACGGAGCACATTTTCAGTAAAATCTAGTAAAGAGCGTTTAACTTCTACACCAATGTAGTTATCATCAGCCTGAATACCGCAAAATGCAAGAATTACAACAAAAATGCCGATATAATCCACATTTTCAGCTTAATTTTTAATGAATTGACCTTCAGAAACAGAAATACCTGTAAGAGAGATAATACACGTGTATAATGCAGAGATGGACAAAGCAGAAGTAGCGTAGAATTTATTGCACTCACTGCATCAATCAACAGCAGTGCTGAAAGCCAGAACCAAAGCACCAAGTATAATTTTTCATTTAGCGCATTAATCATTAGAAAACACTGCATCGTATGGGTATTCACCTGACCCATTTGCTGAAATCCTGAACATTACTATAGTAATATATTGTTAAGTCATGTAATTTAAGATAGGGATTTTATTTTTAATTAAGACTATTAATTGCAAGATAAACCTTTTTTTTAGCTTAAAAGCAACAAGCTAAATCTCGTCGTTTATTTTGTCAAGAACACTTAGTACTTCTTATCGTAAAGTGCTTATTTTAAAAGAGGTAAGACTCAACTACAAGTATTATAAAAAGAGTAAATAACCGTACAGCAATTTTGACATCGCAGAATGTTACCAGTGGAAATATACCTGATACCTTCCAGTTGTTACCTTTAAACATTTCCTCCATAAACTGGAATATATGATTACAAATGAATTGTTTTCTACCTTCTTCGACACTTCTTAAATTTTAGTTAATATAAGAAAACTAGTAGAAAATATCAAACTTACATGGTAGCCCCAAAGTACACAACCATCACCAACGAAATTATTTATAAGTAAAACTTGGCATAAACAACTGAGAAAATAGAACCATTTTATGAGCGCATAGAAATGATATAACGAACAGCACCTAGCAGCTTGTCTTCAAAAAAAATATAAATATATCGGATAGAAATTAAAAGTTTTAAAATATTAAAATTAGCCAATGTTGCTTTACAATAAAGTGCTTTATACCACATACTTTTTTGTGCCACTTTTAATTTCATCTCTTTAAATTATATTCTACAAGTTACAAAATATTGGAAGCTTCTTTCTACTATAAAGTAATTATAACGCTAATTGGACAGATTATAATTGGTAGTAAGTAAGATTTAAGGTGATAAATAAAAGTCAAACTTTAAAATCGCCCATTCAAACTTACCTCCTTTGACTATATTTAATACATGCGATTGCTAAGTTAGCGACCCTTTTGAGATGCTTCCGACGAACTGATAATGTCGTAATGGACGGTAATTTCATTGCTTCTTCCATAACAGAACGCATATCCAAACCTGTATCGTTATGAAGCGATAATACTATCATACTTATCTCACTACTGCTATATTTTGCACATATTTTAGTCTTTTAAACTATAATTCAAGCAGGAAATTAGGGTGTTATGATCGAGAAGGATAAGCTAAGCCTTGTTAAATTACAGTTATTTCATTAAATTTTGACGCTGATAAAGGAGACGTCAGTACTACTTACCATGTGTTACGATAATAGCATTCCAGAGAAATTTTGGTAAACAGCAAAGTAAAGCTTGTAGCAATAATACATAAGGTACCCACTGCAATATAGAATTCTTCCAGTTTTGACGTTGCAATTTTATAGCGTGCATGCAAATTGTAATTAATGTATATTACAATATAAAAACGTGTTCTTTATTCCAAATATAATTGAGTTTTATATATGCAATTGATGACTCGTACTCAGCTATCCTCGTTTAAAATAATGAAGCTTCAAAATCGAGTATATACGAATTGGAAAAATTTGCCTGATAGTAGACAATTTCCTCTTTCAGAACATTCGTTGCGTCACCTTTCGCAATAATTTTGCTAGTATTTACCATATATGTATTGCTTACAAAACAATAATCTTGTACATAATCAACCCATGTACCTATAACTATTTCAAGTAAAAAAATTAATTCGAAATCTATTATTTAAAAGACCAAAAAATCCGAGAAATGTTTAAAATAAAACACGATGTTCCAAAACTTGAAAACATAAAAATAACAAATTTACCATTGTTATAGACAATTCATCCTGATCAGTAATACTAATATACAGTTTACCATAAGTTTAAGCAACATTAAACGCATTTATCAAAATAATCCGGTCTTTTTTTTTTAGTGAATACATTCCCTATCCTTAATTCATTTTTACGCCATTTAAAACTTCCATTTCATTCAACCACTTAAATTTAAAAACTGCAAAACCTTTATTTAATCCTTTACGTTTTATTTTTTTAAACTCTTAAAGAATACAAATCAATATATTGTTCATTTGACAGCAATTTACGTACAAAGAAGTTTTAAATGCATGTCAAAGTAATAAATGGTTAACCTGGAAAGTGTGTTGGTGCCATACACTGAATTGCAGTACCAAAATGTTGCTTTGCGCCTGTAAGTGTTGCCAAAAACATGAAAAGACCCACTGTATATACGTGATTCAAGCGATCCACCAAATCGTCTGTAGGATCAGAATGTGCTGCCACAAATTTGCTTGCTATTTGTTCAGGCCATACAAACATCTTGAAATACCACTCTAAAATAAGTTCAGGATCAGAACTCCTCTTATTATGAATATTCAGGCATACAAATTCCTTAACTTTTATGTTTGTGATAAGAGATGAAAATGACTGATTTCTAACAAATCAGCTAAACATGGCGTATAAGGTAAAAACATGCTGCATAAACTGCAAACTTAAAAGTGATATATCAGATCTGTTCATCGTACCCTAAATGAGTAAGTAGCATACACGCCTATAACTCTCAATAAATTGTAGCTCGTAAACAAAAGCAACTTTTGAAATTTACAAGCATGGAACGATTATGAAAAATCTCATCGAACAGTTTATTTCTCACGCTCTTCCTTAACCAGTGCGATGAGCTTTCTCACGCTCTTCTCTTCAAGCTCATTAATAAGTGATAGCAGAATAATCCACACTTAACAAGCATAGGTCACGCTATATCATATGTTTCGATTATAAGCGTGGAAAAGTAGCGAGACGGAATAAATACAAAATCTAAGGAACTAACAAATAGAACAACCGCCTCTTGATGACATAACAAATGATACTATTGGAATAGACTCGAGGGAGACACAGTAGGAGACAGTGTATATAGGAACCCACGCAGATATTTCTGCAAACGTATGTCCACGTTCATGTCAACTTACGCAGGTTATATATTATTAACGTAAGGTTTATATCGACGTTGTTATCAAAGGATGATAACACGTTAAGCACTGATTGATGTGGTAATGATAATAGCAGATAAGTGTCAGCTCAAGCAATCTTTTAATCCTCCTGAACACCAGGCTCACATATATAATAACACTAGTCTCATGGCTCTATAATTTGAGCATATCTTCACCTCTTTTCTCTCATAATATATATATTTCGGGTATATCAAATTTTATTATCGGTATCCACAATCAAGTTTTATTGAAAAATTAATTTCAAACAGTATTTCAATAAATTTTTAAGAGCATTTAGAATCCCATTACATTTAATGAATGAATTTAGTTGCATCAATAAAGTTCAAATAATCTTCCGTGGCCTTTTGATCCAGTTTAACACAATATACCTAAACAATATCCCTTAAAATAAAAGTCCGACTGCTATTCATCGTGATTTCTTTCATTCATAGCTACCGTACCGCAATCTATGATCGCTAATTTTTTGTATTTTTTATACGCAAATGAATGAATTTGAAGATCGACATTGGCTTATTTGAACCTAAGTTGACTTTACTGCTTGAATAATTTGATCTGTAATTGAGCTGACTTTGCTTGCTTTATTCAAGAATTCGCGTTCTTTCAGTGTCAGATCCAAGTCTCTCGGTGTATATTCCGGCAGCATGAATACTTCCCGCAGCTCAGCTTGAGTCAGAAATCTGCTCATTAACCGCGGTCTATCACTACTACTCTGTGAATCCTCAAATCATTGTTGAATTTTTTACATTTTAAAAAATTTTAAACTTTTCTACATCTTACATTGTAAAGAAATCACAAAGGTTCATTTTTAGAAATTTAAAACGCAATAAAATTTCTTTAGTCTTTGGAATTCTGAATTTATTCTTTATTTTGTTATTTATTTTTTCATTTACAGTGGGAATTTCAAAAGCGCTCTGACTGAAATAGCTTCCCTCACCAGTAAATTATGACCTTCCAGAGTATCGTTGGATGATTTACTATAGAAGTCGACTAGGGTACAGGTAGTGAAGAAGTATATATAGGCAATAATTGAAACGGTCATGAGTAAAATTGAAATAGGCATAAAAAGCAGTACTACATACCAAATCTAAAATTTCATACCCTTCACAATTCTTCTTTATTTTCGAAAATTAAATGATCAAACTTAGTCACTGTATTAACAAAATATTCAGACTGGCTTATATGAGCTGTTTGTTTGTTAACAAAATCTGTCTATAATTAGCTAGTATATCGTATTAGGTTGGATGAGATATAACGAGATTAGATCACATGTAATACCCCATGTTGACCGAGTATTAATAAAATAACATATTATAGATTGAAACTTTTATGACACTAAGAAAAGTGATGCAAATGGACCCAATTATTAAGGGTCATATAAAATAGATGAGCCATATAATTGCAACCACTCTTCACTTCGGTTGTACATCAAATGAGAAAATTCTTTTATCTTCTGCTAGACAATTTGGTAACTTCGGACATAAATTAAAATTTGAATCTTCAACGTCTCATATTCATCAAAATTTTGCATTAGTTTCCAGGTCACTCTTATTTTTTACTAATCTCTTCTTCTCTTATCCTTATTTGATTCTCTTTCAAAAAGGTCACATGACCATATCATTGTGTAGAAAGGAGAAAAAAAAAATGAGTGGCAGATAATGCAAAATACTTAATACTAATTCAAAACTAAATTGTTTGAAAAGCTGAGCAACGAATCCGTACACAAGTCAAAAATCAGATCTATGCTTCTTTATAGAAATCATACATTTTGACAAAAAAAGTGGCGAAATATAGATCACTGTTTAGTATTCAAAATATGTATTGTAAATATTCTTTCTGAACAAATGTAAATAAGTCCTTCAGTTACACAATACTGATTAACTGGATCTATTAACTATTAACACGGTAATTTTAAAATTAACAGCTTTAAAAGCTATGAAAAGAAGCCAAATACGACAGCATCAACGTCATATCATTGATTTGTAATTATTCTAATAACATATTTGCAGCACGCAAGATATTGTTAAAAATCCTTCATTCTTCTTTATAAGGCAAGTTCTCAACTTTCCTTTAAGGTTTTTTTAAACATTAAATATTTCTCATAGTAAGAATATCACAACAAATTTGACAAACTCTAGCCGGTTTCTCAACACCGTACTTGAGTATTGGCACTTCCTGTTCCGAGCAACGTGCACACACTAACCGTCCACAATGTCTAAAGTATTTCACAAGATTTCAAGATTTAAAAATTCATTCAAATATATTATCTAAAGTTTGTGAAAGTAATGTAATTTTAAAAACTATCACTACAAATAGCTCAACCATTCCATTGAGATTTTTATTTTATGTACAAGATCTAACATTTAGTGTAAACTTGCAGTAAAATTCTATAAGTAATTTGCACATGATTGCAAGTAATTGGGAAGGTGTACATAAACATCTGGAAATTAATAATATAGCACGCAGACACGAAAAGATGAAAGAGAGAGATGAAATTAAATAGAATAAAATATTATAAAACGACATACCACTTTGTGGCCATTATGAGAAAGTGGTGGAAAGTACCTGCAATGATGTTTTCGCATTGTCAGAGTAAATTTCATTTCACATTCCGAACATGAATGACCATCAGCCCAACAAGGCTCACGCTCCAGTTTATCTAAAAGTCGTATTTCCTACATCGATTTTCCAAACTTTCCCTTCCATAAAATATATACCAAGAAGAGTATTATATAAAAATCGTTTCTTGGAAGGGATTTAATAAACATTTCTTAGAATTTTTCGAAAATGTTATTAAAGAATCATAAAATTTCCAGTTAGTCACTTTTACACAAGTACTTCAACTTAATTTTATAAAAAAAGTTTTAAAACCGATAACTGTAAAATACCTAATAACGAAAAAAGCAGCTGTTTTGTTGGCGTCACATGTTTGAAAACTGAGATACCTGTTTGGCTAACAGTGCCCAGGCAAACACCATAGCGTAGCAGTGCATGGCACATATTTTCATTTCCTTTTAAATATGATAACAAAAACACTGAAACGAGCATATACTTTACAGCTTTATAGTTTCCTATAGTTCGATATGAATAACTGTAATTTCAATTATAGAACCTACGCTTCCATTTTCTAATCTGTTCCAGAAAATTTGAACGACATTAGCAAATTGTAATAAATGAAACAAATCAAATAACTTCTGGAATTCCAAATATTTGACTGACTTTTAAAAACAATGCATTTTCAATACGGTACTAGTAAGTACCATCAACTGTGGAAAGAAAACGTGCTATCTTAGAACATACACAACAATACAATTGCAGACTTAGGCTACATTCCAATCTACGTAAATTTAATTCAGTTCAACAAAATAAAGGAAAACCTGTAAATCCATCCACATCTTTTTCATCCAAAGGAAATTGAGGGTCAGCATTCAGAAACATCTGCAGTATATCCAACGAATTTGTTCTTGACAAATCTCCAGTAGTAAGAAACAAAGCATTCTGTTGTCTGAAAAAATAAAAAATATTCAAATTCTTATATGTTTATGTTATTAATAACAGTGGATATTTAATCGAGCGACATGTCTATTAACAGCTAAACTGCTTTCTTGTACGTTGCAGAATCCAGATGGCCGAATCGCTAATATTTTCGGATCGGTAAATTTAACTGAATGCTTAGCACGTGGGTAAAGAAACAATAACAGTAATCTTCAGTGCAGTCTACTACATTAGCATGCATCAATAATCTTAATAATGTTTCTTAAAGAAGATAGTTTCCATAATTTATTAATGCAAGCGAATATCTGAACATACTTTTTATTCACAGCACGTAAATTTATTCGCGAATCGCCAATCAGAACATTAACACAGGCTACACTTCCTCCTGATACGGCTCTATGCAACGCTTAAATACTCAATAAATATTCGAAGCGAAAAAAACTATCATTATCGAAATTAACGAAGCTTGTTTGTATAAATATAAATACTTGCATAAGATGTCATTATTTCGTGGAAGTCATTTGGAAATGAAACTAAACTCAAGTTTGCTTTACGTTAAAATTGACATACGCGTGTTCCCCAAAGTATCTGGAACGTTAGGCTGGGCACCGTTTTCCAATAAAATCATGCATAACGCTTCATAATTATTATATGCAGCAACATGTAGAGGCGTAAAGCCGTCAGTACTGATTGCGTTCACGTTAGCTCCAGCTAAAATCTGCAATACATCATATTGATTTACTTTATAATTACTGACAACTCAATAGGAGAAGGAAAAAGGGGAATTAAAAGACTTAACAATTCACATACGATTCAATTATTACTTTCATTGTATACCAAGGAAGTCTCAGTATATCATGATAATATGGATGATTTTTGTGGTTATTACAATATAAAATTCAATCACAGAACTGAGTCGCTCTCATTCACAGAAAAAATCCTATTTTATTAATTGGTAAATGAATTCCAAAGAAACAATAGATTAGTAGCTGCTCTTAATTATGTTCTAGGGAAATCCAAGGATTCTGCTGAGTTACCTCTTTGAATTTTGAAATTTCACTAAATGCAGAAAATTCTCGTAAGGAATTCCAATTAACTCACATTTGTGAAAGCGAAGTTAATTACAAGTTTTACTAAATTCATTAATTTACCAAATTCCGCATTATAATTTCACTGCCATATTGAGCACTAAGATGTAAGGCAGTAACACATGATTCATTCACTGTGCAAGCATTGACATCGAAATTCGCACTTATTAAGAAAAGTACCGATTCCAAATCAATTGCTCTCACTGTTTTGTGCAGTAACATCTCGCCATTCTCATCCACCTGCAAATTTACAATACTAAAATTTGATATCTAAATCTGAATTCCCTCTTTCACTACATTTTTAATTCTACACATTTAAATCGTGATATACACTGAATCTAATACCTGAGTGATTAATTTCGGTGCTTTTTTGATAAGAGTCTCAGCTGCTAAATAATTGTGTGTTTCGATTGCTACATCAAGGGGTGTATTTCCAGAGCAATCCGTATCCAGAAGCAAATCAGGATTGCATTTATTTAATAGTTCAATGAGAATTGCTATATTCTTTTTATAGATCGATAAATGTACAGCCGAACGTCCTTCAGCATCCTAAATTTAAAGAAAATTCATTTCGAAAATTTTGAAACAAGCAGAAACAGGACGCTACAATAACTATTACCTTCCTGTCCAGTCTAGCTCCTCGTTTAATTAAATACATTGCAACATCATTAAAGTCTGAACGAATGCAAGCAAGCAGCGGAGTATCTCTGCCAGGCCTCTCTCCATTAATCTGCCATTGTTCTGAGGTATCAATATCACATCCACTATAACAATTTAATTTACATTTATTGTAAATTTAGATACTGACAGAACAATCTAGACATCGAAAATTTCAGAAACCTCAAAGAGGTTAAGAAAACTGTGCTGCACTGGCAGGTCAAGACTATGCAGTGCAAGTCACCAGTACTTTACTAATCAAGCAGGTTAAACTGAACAATTGTTGTGTAAGACATATCTCACAAACAATTGCATCATATTAATAGCCGTTCTGTAATGAATGAGCAGATAGTAATGGTAAAGAATTTTCAAACAACAACAGATTCTCAACTCTTAAAGAAACCATAAAATGAATGAAATAATTTGAGAAGTAAAAGTAAAAAAAAAGTTGTCTCACGCATCAATTAAGAAAATGGCAGCATCACGTAACTTCAAGCCAATCGCTTTGTGCAGCAATGTTTGATGAAATTTTTGATTTTCATTGTAAAAACAATCGTTCAAATCGCATCCACTCTCGGTTAAAATTTTTGCGATTTCAAATGAACCTGAATTTAGTTATGCAGTCTCCAAATACTATATTTCGATATTTAAGAAAAGTTGAAATATTTCAATTATTTATTATTTAACAGCCAACCTTGTTGCAAAGCTTCCCATAATAATGAAGCATTTATATACTTTTCGCCCTCCCTGGCAAAAGCGCAAAGACGACGAATTGTTTTGAGGAGCGAAAACTCTATCGCCAAAGAAAAACAGTCTTTATCGGAAATGCTATAAAAAATTTTGATAGGAATACTGACATTTTTAAAGAATTTTTGAATTAATAATACCTAATAAAATTTTGATCAAAATCTGAAAGTTCCAAAAGAAGGAAAAGAGTTTTTACCATCCTGAAATGTCCGTACCGTGATCCAACAGAAATACCGCAGCATCATCCAATTTGCTATTGATAGTTCGCATCAGAAGAGATACTCCTTCCGGATCCTTTTCATTGACGTCAGCTCCAGCTTTTATTAGAAGCTCAGCACTTTGGAACTTACCATTGAAGACTGCTTTTGCAATAGGCGTATGACCGTTTGTATCCACGATTGTGAAAATATCTTCTAAAATCACACGGATCACGAAGGCTACCTAATCATCCATACGGCAATTCTCCTAATGGAAGAACCACTAGAACAAGACACAGAACACGATTATGCAGGATCATAAAGAAGTTCATAGTATCAATCTATTCTAATATTATCAGAGTAAGCAAACTGTGATAATATAATATCTAAAAATAACAAAACAAACCATTACAGATATTATTTTCGATACAGACTTCTAAAATTTCACTATCATTTTCACTACCGATAATGTGGTGAAGCAAAGTTTCATGAGAGCCCGAAATTTTCAGAGAGATATTTGCACCAGAACGCATAAGTATTCGGATAAGATCCAAATTGATATTTTCAGAATCTATTACAATTTGCAGTGGTAGCATACCCTAAACATTAAGCTGAAGTGATTTTAAATTTTAACTAAATAGTAAGTAATGAAAAAGACACTTCTTATTTACAATTCACGCAGATGTAATATAAAGATTTTCAAAACAAATATGCACCTCTGCTGTTCTTTTATTCACATCGACTTTATGCCTGCACAAGAATTGTACTGCATCCAAATTACTTGTATAAACCGCATGATGAATCATAAAAACACCTATAAAGATAAGCTTTCAAAAATAAAATCTGATATAAATTTTAGTGTTTCTGCACAATTAAAAAAGATTCTCAATGCTTGCCAGAATGTTATATCTTGATCCTTTTATTAACCAAGTTTGTCAAAAACTTATTATTTCGAAGGATATAACAAAACAACAGTCTAACTTCCACCACTGTGTGATTTGTCTCCAAATGCTCATTGGCATTCCCTAATCAAATTAAAAGCTCAAATTTTAAATTTAAATTAATTTGAGTTAATTGCATTTCAGTTTTTAAATGATGAAAAATCTACTGAGTGTCCTACCCATGTTTTGTGTACAACAAAAACTTTTTAAATTACAAGAATGAATGAAGTGTGATAAGGAACTAGCCTTTATCACTTTTAATCAAATGGAACTAATTAGGAACCATTTTAAAATTAAACAAGAATACGAAGACTAATAATATGAAAAATATCGTGATGCTATTATAGTAACCTTTATAAAGAATGTTTAAGTCAGCTCCTGCTTTTGCAATTAATTCCGCTAATTCCATGTTTCTAATTTTGAAGAGCGCAGATGATATTGGAGAGCATCCGTTTCGATCCATTTTATTTATATCAACCGCAGATTTTTGTAAAAGTAATTCAACAATTTCTATATTTTCCGAATCAACAGCTTTTATAAATGGAGTCCTCAAAAAAAAAAAAAAAATAGTAAAATTTAAAAAAAAGCTTTCACAGATTTCGAAAATTTTGCGAATTTTTCTTAATTTTAAATCGAGCTAACATTTACTAGGACTTTCTCTATCATCTAATAAAATCATATGTGTTACGTACTTTTTTCATTTAGGACTCACTTTCATTTCAAACTAGCATCATTGCTCATTGTGAATTTAGATACTTACTTTGAGTCGTTGTCAACATCATTGATATCGAAATGATTTAAATTAGAAGATAGCCATTCGATTAATTCATACGAACATTTTGTTGATGCAGCAATATGCAATAAATTTTCTCCGGTTATATCAACTTTTTGACCAAAATTGGCTCCGTTTTGAATTAAGAAAATCAATGCATTAACCTTATCTGAAAGCAGAAAAGATATTAAGAAACAGAAAATCAAGCTTGCTCTTCAGTCCTATATTAAGATGCCTTCTTTAATAATTTTTTGTTATTAAATAATTTTTTGTTATTAAATGATCATAAAAATGTAACCTAAAAAAAATAATCCACCATCCTATAATGCTAAAAGCTACTAATGCAATCACCGTGCGATATAAGGCTTCTATACTCTTTTTTTCTTTTTGTTTTTTTTGTGAATAGAAAGAACAGTAATAAAAGTACAAAGAGAAAAAAGAGCTATAAAAGAACAAAAGAGGTCAGATTCTCAAAACCATAACAGTCTCATAACAGTCTTGAGCTTTAATGAAAAACAATTTTAATGGATCAATTATAATTATGGCCATCAGAAAGGTAACAATTGTTCAATAATTACCATAAACATAAATTATTTTTTCAGTAGGAGAACTCACTTTTCACTAGCATCCTCATCAACAGCGTTTTACCATTATTATCGATGGAATTCACATCCGCATGATGATTAACCAAAGATGCTGCAATTTCTATCTGATCAGATTCCAATGCCAATTCCAGAGGAAAAGTACCACTGACTTCTTCATTGCACAGTTTAGGCAACTTAAACATTTGTGTTTTAAACAAGAAAAAATTTTGTGAAAAAATAAAGCGTTGGAAAACTACAAAGTTATCGTCTAGAATAAATAAAATGAGAGTATCAAAATTATATTTATCAAATTTATTATCTAATAAAAAATTAAATGTTGGAAGCTAGTTCGTTTATTTTACTTAACTTTTGATGGAAACACAAAGTGACTAGAAAGTTGTTTCCACAATAAGTATTCATTGCTGATCCATGTTTTCATGGATCCATGTAAAAGATAAGGGATTGGCCGTCTAATCACTCGCTGGTTAAATTGTCAGTATTAAAGAGAAAGAAAATAATAACTTACTTCCTGGAAATGTTCAATAAAAAAAAGAAGTAAAATATCACTACGCTTCAAACGTATAATTGAATGCAATACATGTTCAGAATAGCTGAAATTTGTTACTAATATTTCTGCTTTGATGACCTGAAGAAGCAAAGTCCATTCCAATATTTTACTATTTACAATAAGTTTATTGGTAAAGTATTCAAGTTGGGTAAAACAAGTAATTCCGTAACTTTTTGCTACTATAACTTAGTTTACCAAGTGTTATACTGAGTTCGGTAAAAATTTAATATACGTTACAGCAAAATGAGATAAACAAACTTAACGAGTCACTTCTTATTAACTACTGAAAAAGGATATTAACAATGAAAACGGAGAAAAACTGATGATTCATGAAAATTATTAACAAGAAGCAACAAAAACGAATCTCTTCGCCAACCTTTTGATAAGACCGTACAATAATGAAGCAGATACATTGGTAAAATCATCAGCACTGAATTCATTCCATTTTGCCTTAATCATTTTTTCGCAGTTATCTTTTAACTGCACTAAGTCATTTTTGGTTGCAATATCATATAACATTAAACAACTATCGCAATCAATCCGATCTAGCAGAAGCAGTTCACATCTGAAATTAGCATTTTAACAAGAATTACCTGAATATCAATCCTTTCTTACGACTAATTCATTACTACTTCAACAAAAATACCAGTTCAACTCTGAAAATACTCAAACCTGAGATGATTTATAACAACTGCTGAAAAACATTCATAAAAATGACTTTAAATTTTTCAAAATAACCTTATCTGTAAATCTAAAAAGCGATACTTAACCGCTGCTATCAATATTTCCATTAAACAACGACTTCCCAATAGACCGTCTACGTGATCCGTGTACATCCATTTCAATACAGCACAGCCTGTATTATAAGTAATATCTGCAAATAAAAACACATAAAATGATGTATTTCCAAGATAGATACTACAGAAAAAATCTGACTAACATAACAATATAACTTGATTTTAAGTGATTCTAGGTAAGCTTTTAAACTGTAACAGTATAAGAAAAAAATTCTGCATCAACTTATAAAAGTACACATAGCAATTATAACCTTTAAATTCAATGCGATCAAGTCTCGAAAGATCATCCCAATAATCTGTTCTTGTTGCAATCACTAACCGATGACCTCGAAACTGATGTCCATCGCAGTGAATTGTTATATCGCTACAGGAGAAGTTTATGTAAACTTTGGAATAATTTTAATTTCAACCAATAATGAGTGGAAAAAAAATTAGTTAAATATTTACTGAGTAGATAATGATTAATCTATTAAATTATCTAAAAAATATTTATTTTTTTTTAAAAAAAACATTTATTTTTTTGTTGAGAAAGAAAAACAAATGAATTGCAAGACAAGATCAGAACCTATACAAATCGTTGTCATATATTTCAGTAATTTTTGCCACAAGCTTTTTCACGAACGAAAGTTTTGAAGCATCACCAACAGAAATGTTACTGAACCCTACAGCTGCAGCCAATATATCATAACGTTTCTGCAAATCGGCATGATTCTGCAGCAATTTAACATGCTCTGCTTGAAGGAATTCAAAATTCGTCATTACTATGATCCATCAAGTTTTGACTCCATTCCAGCAATTAACTAGAAGTAATCATAAAAACTTCGCCGAAAATTTCCTTATAAAAAAAGTACTTCTTAATGCACATACAAAAAGACACTGCATAAAACATTAATCTTTAAAAAAAATAATGTAAATAACCCTACTACTATGAAACCTGATGTTAACCAAATTCAGAAGCAGTAAAAGTCCAAAACCAAATATAGTGCAGGACAATAGTCCCACGTCCAATATCGAGAAGCTAGCCAACATCGCCCTCATTAGTGGACGATACCTAAGTTTATTTCCTATAGCTTAGGCATAACTCTGCATTCACTTTTGTCACCTTTAAGAAAGATGTACGTGCAGAATGACTTCATGATGATTTCATATGCAGAATCTCTGTTTCAATGCTGTAGTTTGTACATTATAAAAAACTTTGAAAAAAGATGGCTACTAGAAATGCTAAGCCAAACTAAAATTCAGAACTCAAAATTTTGTTAAACTTCATCACGCAATCTTTAAATTGATAGGGAAAGCAAGAAAGTGACTGCTGTACAGTTTAAACAGCAAGATGAAGAAGAACATTCATAATAAGAGGTATTTTATTTGCACTATCATATGCAACCAACAAAGAGATACAAAATACAGAGACGTAATAAAGAGAATCACATGAAGCAAGTGAATTTTTCAAATAAACCAGTAAGTACAAATATTCTGTACTTCAACACCATTTTTTAATAACCGCAATCAATTTCATGGCAAAGCAAGCATGGAATTCTAAATGCTATTAGATATATAAAACTGTGGGAAAAAAAAAAAAAAAAAACAACATAATGCATTACAGAATATTACTAATGAAGAAGATATATGTATAATGCCGTCAATAAAATAATAACAATCCCAAAGTCTAGTTCACCACTTTTTTTCAGTATGTCAGAGAAGGTCAAGAGAACAAAACTGAATATTCATAAATAACACTAATAACACTACTAGTAGGAAGGACAGATCTACAGCAGAGGGGATGACAAAAAGATTAACGAAATCACAATACTATTGATAAAGTGTAACGATACTACAGAAAGTAGCAGGCTTTTAATTAATCTAAAAATCTTCACTTCACAGAAAAAGGTACTGTGTCTTTCTTTTTGGGCGATCATGTTTGACAATGAGAGGAAACCAGTGACACTTAACCAGTGAAATAGTGACTACAAAATAGTACGAAATGAGCTCAACATAGACGAACTTAAATTAAAAATTACTTTATGTGAAGATATCTTTCAAAATTTATTTTGCCCTATCACACTGATAAAACTACGTAGCAGAATATATTATGTATTCAAAGGTTTCCAGCCACCAAATCCTTTCTCCAAATCTTGAGCCACTATTGCCAACAAAGAATCAGATCCTGGTGCACCGATAACTTGTATACCAAGCGGAATATTATGAGTGTTCAAACCCACTGGACACTGCACAGCTGGCAGGGCCAATGTATTCCAAAGAGCAGTGTAAGCGAAATTTAATGGAGTAAAAAGGGGCTGATGATGATAAGGTGCCGCAGTTGGAAACGAAGGGAACAGTAAGATACCATTATCTGATAAAAGTTCTTCAACTTCCCGACTTAACCGATCTCGTTGATTCCTTAACTGAAACGAGCTATTTTGAAAACAAAAATAATTTGCACTTAAGTGATTCATACAACTATTACGCTTTATGTTAGCAAGTTGTAATATAAGTTTCCAAGAACCTTTCCAATGACCAGCAATAATCACAAATTAAACTGACACACCTTTTGTTTTTGTTCCTCATTAAATGGTGCAAAATGCTCGTCCATAATTCCAGTAATAATAGCTGGCAATGTATGCATTGATTTGCCCATTAGCCACTTGAATAATTCAACAAAACAATTTATATTCATCTAGAAATGTGACAAATTCAAAAAAAGCAAAAAAGAAAGAAAGAAAAAATATATATATTGATTTGCTCATTATCAATTAGAAATTCAAAACCTTTCATTTTTTTACTTGGAAAATGAAAACTACAATTCAGTCTAATGCAAAATACATATGGCACGATTTAAGAATACCTTAAAAACAACAGTAAAAGGAAGAGCGAAGTAATTACAACAGAGAACAAGATAAGACGAAAAATAAGACTTGCCTTCAAATCGGTCATATGCATCGCAAATTTCGGTGCATCTGCGACATCCATACTTGTTAGGAAAAATTCAAGAGCGTAATGAACAAGTGGTGGGTCTATACGAACAGCACATAGATCATATTTAATTTCAAAATAGCGAACTGCCTAGAATAAAAGCTCGAATTTTACAAATGCATTGTTCAGTTACATTACCAAAGTTTTCAGATATTCGGTCACGTTATAAAACTTCCTTATCCTTCTATTTAAAGAGCATTATGCGAAAAGAAGCAAAGGAAAGCTAAAACTAAAAAAAAAGCAATTAGGAAAAAATTAAATTAAAACATCTACATCCACATTAATTACATGCACTATTTTCATTTAATTCGATGAAATTCAGACAGCATATGCTATATTACAATGTACATTCTTCATCAACTTCATGTCGTATTGTATCACTATAATAATAGTTCATCCTTCATTTTTCTAGAACTAATTTTGTAGGTGTGTAAATTTTAGTACATAAGAAGTAAATGTTTCCAAATCCAATTATTAAAACTACTTTCTTTCTTCAGTGCCTGCAAAGCTTCTCCATTCACATCTTGCACCAGAGGTGTCTTCAGGCCTTCCATATAGAAAATGTGCATTTTTTTCATATTAAACGGAGCATCCATTTGTAATAAATTCGTGCCTTCATTTCCCGCAAAAACCTATATTTTAAATCATTAAAATACCAAGAAAATTCTGAAACACGAAAGACAAAAATCATGAGAAAAAGTCAGCAAGATGTGTAGAACAGACCCTCAATAAAATAGACAAATCTTCCGCGTAACGGCACATAGGACCAATTAACAGCATCTTTTCAGTACGATATCCATTCAGGAGTGGCAAATGTCCTTCCAGTGGTACCAAACCTAAACACGACTGAAACGTTCCAGAATTGCGAAAAACATAAATGAATTTTAATTATTTATTGTTTTAGTTAAGAATTATTATTAACTAGAAAAAGATTTGAAGTTTTCCACAACTGAATGCATAATTGAACAAAAGGCTAGAGAGCATGATATTGTAAAGCATTTCAATTACAACATTACAAAATAAAATGTAAATGAAATTTAATTATTTATTATTTTGGTTACGAATTATTAACTTTTATTAAAAAAGATTTTTAAAGAATTGAAAAAAAAAAAAGAAATCACAAAATAAAGCCAAAAATGAAAACATGCCCGGAGTAGGTTTGAGACCGAAAATTCCATTAAAATAACAAGGCATACGAATTGAGCCAGCAATATCACTACCAATACCGATTACTGAACCTGCAGCAGAAATTAATGCAGCTTCTCCACCACTACTACCGCCAGATATTCGTCTACTATCATACGGGTTTCGGGTACGACCATAGACAACATTCACTGATTCCCACCACATGCATACTTCTGGAACATTAGTCACCGCAAGAAGGACTGCACCGGCATCTTTCATCCTACAAAGAAGAGTAGAAGAAGTTTAAAATGCAATAATAAAATTAAGTGGAAAGAATATATAAGATGACTGAAGTGATGCCACATTACTCTTAGTTATGGCTGTTTAACTAAAAATTATGTATGCTGAATTACTGAAAACTAAGTGTAAAGAAGGATTCGAACTAATTATTAAAGTGAAAGAACCTTTGCACAACGATGGCATCTTTGTTACTTACAGACTTTTTCCGATATGATATTCCAACAGTGCAGTACAAACCATCCACCTCAATGGAATCCTTCAAAGTAAACGGTACACCTAGCAATGGCTTCCTTACAGCAAGCTGAAAACAATCGCTATTTATCTAAATTTTTTCCTATTTATACAACTTCATCTTGCGAATATTCTTAGATGGAAAAAAATTAATTTTAGCAGCACTATGAAGACTAATAAAAGAAGTAACATGGAAACGTACACTTTTGAAGTCCTCGCTATCAGTGTCAAGGTTCCCCAACATTTCATCAATCTCTTGAGCCTTTATTAATGCATCTTCAAAGTTCATCTGAACAACTGCATTAATTGTCCCGTTCACTTCTTTGATACGTTTAATATAAGCTTCAACCAGGCTGAAGCTCGTTATCTAAATACAGCAATATTTAATTTCGCCTTGCAAAATCATACCGTAATTAAAAACTTTAATTGTTTTGCATATTATATATGTTCATTTCTACAGAATCTTAATCTTTGCCCAATATAAAGATTAAAAACATTTCGTAATTCTGAAATTTACATAACCATGAACCAAAGTAAGGCTTAACATACTGTGCCGTACTTATTCATTGCGAAAAATTTTTTTTTCAAATTCATTTAGTTTTTTATGAGAAAATTAGATTACCATGTTAAATCAATCACGAACCAACACCACAATCACGGACAAAAGTATTAGAATACGTAATGGCACATGCAGACATACCTAGTTAATTATTATATTTTAATAACTGGGGTCTATCTATATGTGAATATATGGTTAATAATAATAAAAATGCTCAACTACTTCAAATTTCTGTTACCTTTCGATTTCGAATCATTTGCGCAGCTTGCGTGGCACTAATTGTGAGTAGTTTATCTCGTGGAGCACTGATCACTTTTCTTGACAAAAAATGATAGATGAAAGTGAAAAAGCAAGAAACAAGAGTGAAATATATTCTTGACATTACAGTGAATAATGGCATTAATGTCTTCATGACGGTTACTAACATATTTGTCGTGTGACCTGCAAATTTTCTGTTTTTTCTTATTTCGTAGTATACACGTAAGCAAAAACCGGAACTGACACCGACCAAAAATGGGTGGAAAAGTTTTCAGTGCTTATCTTCCCCTCACAGTTGTATCCATTTCCGATTTTC